CCACCCCCCCCTTATAGTGGATCCCAAGTTGGCGGGACATTGACCTCGATTCGTGGGAGACACCTGCTATGGACCGTGCAAGCTGGTGAGACAGACTCACTGTTGGAGCATGGTCCTCAGAGAATAAGCGCACCGCTCATGCCCAAAGAAAGCGCACGGCAAGGAAAGAGCTAAAACGACTCAAATCCTGATTGGACCCAAAACTATGTTGTCCTACATGCCTGGAAAAAGCTTTCCAGGCCCAAACAGGACTGGCGAGCCACGTGCCCCTAATCACCGTTGTATATAGCCTTGGTCATCTTTGCATGTGAAGGCGGAACAACAAACAGCAATTGACAGGATCATCAACTCAGTAACCATGTCATGAGTGGCCCACTGAAAAATGAAGGCTGCCCACTTCAATAATTATGCAAATTAAATTTATGTGGGATCTGCGCTGAGTATTCACTACTGCTATAACAAGTTCTTGCTGTTATTATTACACTACTACTAGCGACAAATGAGGAATAAAAACTTCTCCTGTGAAAACACAATTTTTTAACAATAAACAGATTACATTTTTTTTTTTTTGATCCAAAAAAAAGTTTTATCAATACATTAGCCAACTTAACAATTCAAGCCATAAAATCACCATTTTTAACTGGATCTTAAAAAGAAAAAAAAAATCTTGTTAAATAATTTCCCAAAGTTTCCGAGGCACATTCAGGCAACACTGGTTTTGTAAAAAAAAAACTCTGCACCATAAAAACTAACAACTAAGATTTTTTTAAAGCCTAGTTGCATCATTACGAAAGCAGTCACTTCAGAGTGAAGCAAAATGAGACTAGAAATATGCATACAAGTTTTGTCTGAGTATGAGTGAGTTCATGGCATTTAAATTTTAGAAAAAAAAGATAAAATCCACAGGGATGATCATTTGAATGTTTCAATCTTACATAGCTAATCGGCAGGTTTACATTGCTAATTGAAGCAAAAGGAGGATAGAAATAATGTTTACATATTTTTGTTCACAATATGGAGAACACTAATTTTAAAAGAACCACACAGTTGGTATCAGCTAATCACATGCCACACGGCACATTCACACTAAGTTGTTTACAAATATATAGCGGAAATGTTTTCAGACACTGTTGTGCTTTTTTTTTTTTGGAAAAGAATTATGGATTAGACGATGTTTTGAAAAAAATAAATAAAATAAAGTTCAAATATAAGTGATTTATCAAAGTAGCTTACAAAATGATATTTTCAGACTAATCACAAAGATGTGTGCTGGTACACAAACCTCTATGCCAGTACACAAACGTGTACACTAATACACAAACCAGAACTGTCCATACTTCCTTCACCTATTCATTTAAAATTTCACTAAATTTACTCATGCAGGTTAAAAACAAATTAAATTTTAAAAAAAGGTCTCGGCATTGTTTCTTTTAATTAATTTATTGGTATTAATAATAATTTAGTAATTTTTCAATATACTTTTGAGTTTAAACAAATGTTTTTAGCTGCCCTGTTGTTAACCACTAGGCAAGACGACAGTGAAACACGAGCATCCACACCGATTAGTTATATCGCATACAACAGTGATCTCCTGTCAATCATTGAATAATTGTTTACATCAAATAAAATTGCTGCATCAGCCACCTTAAGTTACTCAGAACTGATTCTATAGTAAAGCCTTCTTCACTTGGGCTCTGCTTTGAACATTCACATGCAAATTTATATTTAAATATTGCTGGGCGGGGAAAAAGTCCAAGAACTACTTAAAAATATTTCATGAAACACATTTTATTTTTAGTGCTGTTTCAAAAGATCATGTTGTACAGTGTTTCCCAAAATTTCGCCCACAATGTATCCCTGTCTATAATTTATGTAACACTGAGTACCCTTCGTAAAAAAAAAAAAAAAATTGCATATACTTTCATAACAATAAAAAAAATGATTTTTTTCTTTTGCGGCGCGTAGCCCCACAAAACTCTTCCCATAGCCCCGGGGTACACGTACCACACTTTTTTATTTTTAGTGCTGTTTAAAAAGTTCATGTTTGACAGTGTTTCCCAAAATTTCGCCCACAATGTATCCCTGTCTAAAATTTATGTAACACTGAGTACCATTCGTAAAAAAAAAAAAAAAATTGCATATACTTTCATAACAATAAAAAAAATGATTTTTTTCTTTTGCGGCGCGTAGCCCCACAAAACTCTTCCCATAGCCCCGGGGTACACGTACCACACTTTGGGAAACGCTGATGTAGTACACGTAAGCCTACACATCTGCAACATTTACGATCAAAATTTTTTTTTTTATCTATGACATCCTAATAGTAAATATGTGTATTGATAACAGCACTAAGTTAATCAGACCAAGCCATATTTACAGTCACATGATATGTTGTTGTTTTACATTTTGACAAACTACTGGTTAAGTTTGAACTTAAATTATTAATTATAAATACATCTTTAAGCTGACCAAAAAATTCCTTAAAATTACCACCAACGTCTTTAATTAAGTTGACGAACAGCCCTTCTCATCCTGGCATAGGGGCCATCCATATAGTACGTTGTTGCTGTTGTTCATCTGTCAAGAGCAACTAGGACTGACTATGACAAGATGGCGGTATAATAACAGCAAGTACACAAAAGGAAGGAATTCTCAATTTCCACAAAAATTAGTTATAGGAAATAGTAATATAGTCCGTATTATATGATGGCTTCCTTAAGTACATTTTACACAAAAATAAGGCCTCATTAAATACACAATCATAAATCACTAATAAAAGTAAGTCAAAGCACTTATAAAAAAATGCTTAAATGGCTTTAACAGTTTAAAAACTACATTAAATATGTATGAAAAATCTCACCAATTAAAAACATTAAGCCTTTTTTTAAAATAAAAATAATAATTGGTACCCATTATATTTAAGGATTTCAACATCACCTTTATTATTTATGGATTCTAACTTCACTCACATTATTTCTCAACAATCAATGTCATTATAACTACAGTTAAGGACAGCCATAACTACAGTGATGGACAGCCATAACTACAGTTAAGGACAGCCATAACTACAGTGATGAACAGCCATAACCACAGTAATGGACAGCCATAACTACAGTGATGGACAGCCATAACCAAAGTGATGGACAGCCATAACTAGTGATAAACAGCCATAACTACAGTGGTGGTCAGTCCTGACTACAGTGATGGGCAGCCCCTATGTAAACTGCAGGCATTAACAGAGACAGCCTGGACAAAGTGGCTCATTTTCAATTGCAAAACATTAATTTGTGTATGAAAAATGAGTGATTATAATGTTGGCCTAGAGTGATGATAGCTCACTTCAGTCATAAACCATGTACATCAACTAAATTATATTAATTTATTTAGACTCAGAGAGCTTTTTTTTTCAAAAATGTCTATAAAAAGCTTTTGGCACAATTTTTAAACCAAAAAAAAAATTAAATAAAAAAAATGATAATGTAGCCAACTGTAAGGTTGAAAAAAAAAAACATTATGACATTTCTGAACTTGTAAAAACCTATTGTGCCGACATGGGAAGCAAATATAATTGGGCTTGTTCTAGAATCAACAACTTTATTCAAAAAAGAGCTATGATACTATGCAAGAGATGCAATTTCTTGATCAATGAACTAAAACCAGATGTTAAATTTGCAGCCAGGGCTTCCTATCTTGAGATAAGGATTAGGAAGATGTAATGCTACAAATCAGTATTTTTTAATCGTGCCACCCAGCACCCAAGAATTTCTTCTTTTATAATGAGCTCTACCTCAAATTCATTTTTTTTTAAACAGTGCACCCTCTCCCCTTACATCATCTTCTTGATTCTCGATCTGCCGTTGCTAAGTGATCTATTTTCTAACTAAAGTTCTGTTCTAAACTTCCCCTGATAAGTGATCTATTTTCTAACTAAAGTTCAGTTCTAAACTGCACCTGATGCATTTGAAATCACCTAAATAAATGGCGTCTATACATATTCTATAAATGAAGTAGTACCAGGGTTGCTGATACACTGTACAGAAGGATGTTTTAAACTTTACTTGATGTGTAGAGAATTATTCTAAATAAATGGCGTCAACTTTATATTCTATAAATTAAACGGCAAAAAGGTGGTTGATAGACTATACAAAATGATGTTTTTTGTGTACTGCAGCGCTAACATTCATCAACCCCTGGTCTATAAAGAAAGAGCCGTGAAGATTGGTTGTTAAGTAGATTGATGCTGACAGATTGTGCAGACCAGTAAGATATAATAACCCTGCTGTGACAACATGGTATCCTATGAAAGACAAGTGGTCAGCCAGCGTCAGTCCACACTGCAGTCATTCTCAAGCGGCCAACATTTGCCTATAAAAACTGCAGCTGACACAGTCAACAACGACAGCAAGCATTCAATAATAAAGAATCAATTATTTTTGGGGGGATAAGTAAACGATTAGGACAGACAAATATTTCTAACGTGCACACAGCTGATCTCAACTGCAAAATGAGAGACACTTTGCCACGCTGCAGAATGGAATGTTCAAATTAGGTCACCAAACAGAAACACTCCCACATGAACTTTGATTGTAGAATTTCCTTCCCTTGCCACGTCACAGTCCCCATTGGTTTTACTTGTCTTGGCTGGGGAGAGAGAGAAAGAGAGCAGATATGCATGAAATATTAAGGATAATAAGATGTTATCCATATAATAGAAAATATGGTGATTTGATATCGATATGACAAATAAGTATGGTGAGGTGAGATGTTACCAATAAAATAAGGATAATGAGGTGTTATATAAAAATAATAGTAGATAGGTGACAAATAAGAGATTAAACATCCCCCACACACTCCCGTTTCAATCAGGCAAAACTGTTATAAAAATTGTTATTAAAAGAAATTAAGTGTAAGGAAGAAGGTCACATTTCACCAAAATGATGAATGTTATAGCTGACAAAAGACTTTAAAAACTAACAATGAACAAAGGCAATATTCCTGCCACAAAGCTGGACATAAATTAGAAAAAAAAAAAAAATGGGAGATAAGAGATTAACTGAAACACCAGTGAGAGATAGAGGGTTAACGGAATAACCAGTGAGAGATAGAGGGTTAGCGGAAAACAGAGGACTGGGGAAGTAGACCAAAAAATGTTGAACAATCGAAAGCTTTGATCTCAAGCACTGGCCTCATCAAGACGTACTCAAGTGGACTGATGTCAAAATGAGTCATGAGACATAAAGATTGGACTATATATTTACGGTTATTTTATTAGCTACCAGTATCACCAAATCCACATCTTCAAGTTCAAACATAAATCATTGCTAAATGTTGGCTTTAAGGATAGAAAGGGATAGTATATTTTTAGAATTTTTAATAGCTCGATGATGTTCATTTTAAAACTAACTTACGGAAAAGTATTTCTTAATAAGTTTATCAGTCACATATTTTACTATGTGTATCTAACCTTATGGTATTCAAAACAAACAACAACAAAAAAAATGGCCACTGCCAGGTGGATATGACTTAGGGATAAATAGGTTAGATGGGGATTTTTAAATAAATTATGCTCTTAAAATGAAATGGCGATAATGTCAGTGTCAGTTTAACACAGACATCCTTTACTTTGTTCTAAGTTAATTTCTCTAAAAAAAATTGTTGTCACAGATTAAATATTGACATAATCATTTGTTTTGGATAATGTTTTGTTTTTTGTAAGTTAGGATGCACAGGAAGTTAATTAGATACTGTATGGCATGTGCAGAGAAGCAAGTGGACAATAGAAATGGCAGTCTGATTATTTCATTGTTGGCTCTTGCCACGATTTTATGTGCATCACACAACATCTAAATGTTGACGCAACAGATCTGAGTGGATTATGAATGTGAAGTGAATAAGTTATATGACAATTATGTTTGCTCTAGTTTCTAGAGATTTATTTCATGCTGTGTCTTTATATCGTCAATAAAACCTGTGAAGCTAAATTCTAATGGCTCGTGTTATCAAATATTATGGAGGATTGTAAAATGTGAATAGACGAGGCAAAATACTACAACAGAGTAATACTAATACTGAAATTTAATTAAAAGTAACAAACGTTGCTAATACAAGAGGTTTTTACAATTGTAACTGCTCAGAATTTTCTACAAGCTCTTTAATGATCTCTTATAATGTGCAAGAAATCAGATTACCACTTGCAGGTGCCGCAATCAACATTGGCAACTTACATTTGCGATTCCGAGTTTGCTTTCTGGAGAGCCCTGGCTTTTGCCGACAAGTTCAACTTCCCACCTGGTCAGGTCAAACACAAATACATCAAGAGTTACCCAAACCCGTTCGTCTGGCTACACATTCAAATGGTGCTAAAGGGTTTCTTAAAGTTTCGTAATGTTGTGCCACTTAAAATAAACTTCAAAAATGCTTGTACTATCATGTCTGTAGTTTGAAACTTTTAGTGAATAGCTTTATAAGTATTTGTAAATTGTTAAGCTCTCACATTTTCCAACGTGCGTAATATAATTTACAGCTAGTGGTACTTAGGTCAAAGTTTGAGGAGCCTTAATCCCTGTATTGAATCTTAAGTGCTTAAGATAAAAGTAATGAGTTTTTTTAAATTTTTTTTATTTTAATTCACATTTTTCTGGAAACATTTGACAGAATTTTGTTGAAACAGAATTATCATCACCAATCTTGGTCACTTAATATAATTTATTACATTTATTACAACCATATTCTGAGAGAGGGGTGATTGAGATGAAAATACCTTTATTGGCATCAAAGAGGTAAAGTAAAACACCAGCAATCAGTGCCACTGAAAGAAAGAAACGAAAAAAAATTAAGGTTTAATTTTTGTAAAGTTCATCAACAATAAAAAAAAAAAAAAAATTCATGAAGACTTTTGTCATTCTCAAAAATAAAGTAAAACAACAGCAATCAGTGCCACTGAAAGAAAGAAACAAAAAAAAATTAAGGTTTAATTTTTGTAAAGTTCATCAACAATAAAAAAAAAAAAAAAATTCATGAAGACTTTTGTCATTCTGAAAAATCAATATTTGTCATTCTATGGTTTAGTGTTAGAGGTTGAATCTTTACATAATTACATAAATTAATATTTTTTTTTAAATGTGCTTGATCTGGATTAGAATATGCTTTAACTTGAAGCCAAGGGAATGAAGTGATGTATAATGCCAATAAAACAAAGCTACACGATCATCGCACGAAGACAAGATGACGTCAGCAAAAATTTACACTAGAATTATGTTATGCATTTTCTATTTGTTGATATTTAATGAACAGATTAAAATTCTGTCGTAAAATATTTGAAATTCAGACATCCAAATAATTGCATTTGAGACATGAAAATTAAAACATTTTCAATTCATAAACTTTTACTGTACTAATAATTTTCTTTGATCACTTACAAGACTAAAAATTTATTTTAATTCTGAAAGTGTGAGATGACCAAGCATACTTACAGCACAACCAAGCCATGAAAAACACTTCTAGGATGAGGTAGCCATTCTGATCCACGATTATACCAGCAGTAAGGGATATAACAGCTAGACCCAGGTTCTGGATGGCTTGCATTCTAAAATTTTTTGAATCATAGAGTTTTTTATTTTTTATTTTTTTATTTTATTAAGTATTAAGCCATGGGTCTACAATCTACAACAAATAAAAACCTGTTCTAAAAGACAGCATTTGATCCAAAAGAGAGTTGGACTGTACACAGTCATGCTCCCCTTTGAATTAACATTGCTGAAATGCATAGGTTTTAAAAATGGACTCATCATCAAGCCCATCAGTATTTGTAGCATGGGCAGAAATATATGATTTTAATGAACCAATGAAATAATCTTAAGTTTTGAAATTGACCTGCTGACTGCCGCTGCTGACTGGCACTGCTGACTGCCGCTGATTGACTGCTGCCCCTGACTGCCGAGGCAACTCTGAATTCAAGCAAACAATATTGATTAACCAGTGAACGTTTGTTAGTTTTACTTATATTACTTACATGCCATATGCTGTGCCCAGTTGATGACCGGGTATTATAAGGGAGACCATGGGCCAGAGAGCACTGGCCAGCACTGAGTATGACAGTCCCATGATTATCTAGGAGTGAAGAAACTGCAAAATCAGATGGGCCAAACAGAAATAGGGGTCTCTATTTTTTTTAACCCATGAAGAAGAAAAAATATATGAAACAATGCCTTTGAAAATTTTTAGCTAAAAGTAACCAAGTATTCATTATGAATATTTGCTGGTGGGAGAACCCCCCACACACACACACCAATGCCCCCCACACCAATGCCCCCGACTTTTCTCTTCACCAAAGAGTGAGCTTGAGACTATAACTTATTCTGAAGGGTAGCTTTAAACATTGAGTAAATTTAAATTTTGTTTATGTATTGATATTATACGAATCAAATATTTTTAATGACTTATGAGAGGTCCAAAAATGCTGAGAGAGTGAAATCCAATAACAAAAATATTAGACCAAACATTGTAATCCCACTTCTGATCTGCAAGGGTAATCACCTTGACCTATATGTTTCTGAGGTGTTAAAAAATGTCTTTCTTCTATGCTGTCATTTTTTCTAAGTTGACAGTTTTAATGAATTAATGATATCTTTAGAATTATTTTTGGTTACAGCAGATTTCGAAATAAGCCCAAGATAATTATGAAGCTTAATCATCAGGACAATCCTGATGCAATGCTTCACTACTTCGTTGAGCATTTTTCTCCCAATGCTATTCATAAGGCACACCAAAAAAAACACAAAAACATGATCAAACCACTCACCATAGCGACGTATGGGTTGATAAAAGTGAAAGCAAGCAGCATGTGGCAGCCCAGGGTGACTACAATGCCAATGATAACCCAGAAGACATTCTTGCCAATTTTGTCAATGAGAAACCCAAAAACAGGGGAGGCCACTGCAGAAACAATGTAGACCAAACTGTTGACGGCGTTGGCACTGGTGGGAGTCAGGCCAAACTTCATCTCAAAGAAAACCCTGAAAGATTTTCAGAAATGTATTCTTGTAAACAATGAAATCAGTACATGAGTAACTCAATTTATATTATACATTGCATCTCTAGGATATACAGTTTGCGCCAAAAAAATAAAAGAATTGAAACTCTCTCATCTTGAACGTGTACAGTGCACAGCTCCGTCTGCCACATGACCCTAGAAGTGAAAAGGATTGTACGTTGGCCAGCTATCGCTAGAAATGTGTTTTTCAGAGGAGGAAAAATTATTCATAGTAGGAATTTTTGCTCATACATTTGTAGTAGTTAATGGAGACAATGAGTTTGAAAAGAGATGGTAGAACAATTCCAAGACTTTTCTGTACTGTTAGTTTTGGGACATACTGTTTTTTATCACTGTAGAGCTTTATTAGTGAAATTATTTATATATTTTTATGAGGCTATTTTGTCTATACAGATCATCCACAGTAAATGGCTTCACGAAGGTTTGACTCATTGAATGACCTTTTAATACCCGAAAAGTCAAAAGCTAATTAGACTTCCTTTATCTTAACATCTTTTCCTTTATTCAAGGTGCAAAGATTACAGAGTGTTGGACTGCGATAAAGCTTTAAAATAGATTAATTAGACACAAACAATATGTGTATAAGAGTGTTGGACTACGTTAAAGCTTATGAAGCAGATAAACCAAATCCACAATTTTACATAGCTGCCATGTCTTTTTCCTGTTTGGTTTTTACATTTTACTTCAAATCACTTCCTTTCCATTCTTCTTTAATTTGCTTTTGTCTGGTTTTTCCCCATATTCCTATTCTTTTCTGTTTTTTAGGTGGGATACATGTATATATTATGTAATTTAATTTATACTTATTTAAATGTTTTGCTGTTGTACTGATGAAGGCATTTGCCAAAACATTAATTTGTACATTGTGTAAAATTATTATTAAAGCTGAACATATATTGTTTTATTGACACAAATCGTTCATATTAATCTATTGAAAAGATTAAAACTGTTATGGTTTTTAAAAAAAACAAGGACTTACAAACCCAGGCCAATGAAAGGGAAGACTGCCACATAATAGGCAACACAGATGATTGATATCAGCCATGTTGTGAAAGGGAATGTCAGGATATCCTTGAACTTGATCATATCCTCTGCAAGAAACATTGTAATTTGAAAATGATAGTTACAGATTATTCAGTATGCCACAAATCAATGTGAAGGCTGTCTGCCAAAATGAATACTGAGGTGTGGGTACAGTATGGACATGCCATTACAAGGCCCTATAACCACACATGCCATCATCACAAGGCCCTATAACCACAAAGGCCATCATCACAAGGCCCTATAACCACACAGGTCATCACAAGGCCCTATCACCACACAGGCCATCACAAGGCCCTATTACCACACAGGCCATCATCACAAGGCCCTATAACCACACAGGTCATCACAAGGCCCTATAACCACACAAGCCATAACAACACCCTATAACCACACATTATTACCACACAGGCCATCATCACAAGGCCCTATAACCACACAGGTCATCACAAGGCCCTATAACCACACAGGCCATCACAAGGCCCTATAACCACACAGGCCATCATCACAAGGCCCTATAACCACACAGGCCATCATCACAAGGCCATATCACCACACATGCCATCATCACAAGGCCCTATAGCCACACATGCCATCACAAGGCCCTATAACCACAAATAATTTTTTTTTAACTGACTACAACTTATTTTCTCCCAAAAAATGCTATAATCTTTCTTCTTTACATCAAAAATTATATTTTATCTGCAAAATCGTTTGTTTACTTTAATTCCATGTCACATCATTCTTATCATGAAAACTCTGAGCAAGCGCACTAATCCTTTTTATTTAATGTTTCCTTAATTGTGAGATTAAATAGTGATGAAATAGAATATTTAATTCATCTCTTTTCAACATTTTACTCTAAGCTAAACTGCATACCTTCCATCCTTTTGTCTATTTGTCACACTCCAACGGCACAAATTGTATAAGTTGGCTTGCCACTATTGGCCTTTTCTACAGTGCCATAGTAACCAACAACACTGCCCATATGTAGAGGCAACATGGTCTTCTGACAACACTGTACATATGTAAAGGCAGCATGCAATCTGACAACACTGTAAATATTCAGAAGCAACATGTCTTCTGACGACACTGTACACGTGTAGAAGCATCATATTCTCTGACAACACTGTACTTATGTAGCAGCACCATGACCTCTGACCTGTGATCAGACACACCCACCTTGACTAATCTGTTTTCTCTTCAGAACCCTGTCCGCCCTCTTGTCAAAGTACGACAGCAGGAACGCACACAGCAGGGAGAACACACACATCCCGGCACCTAGGGAAGAAATGAAATTTTTTTTAAAGTCTCACTTAAGGTAATATATCCTTTTTTAAAGTGTCTACGACCAAACACAGGTCATCAACTTTGTTCTGGTTTGTTCAACTCATCCTCACTGCCTGCAGTGGAGGCCTCTACAGAGAATACAACAAGCCTCCTAAAAAAAAATTTTAAATTTTATGAGGACACAAATTAAATTTAACAAATTTTGAAGATCCCCTGCCGAACCATGAAAACAATTAAACTTAACTTGTAAATTATGAATAACAACACATGATTTTTAAACAAAAATTATTTAAAAAATGCAAACGGAAGGATGTGGTGGACAGGCCAGGGCCCAACATGGGATGCAGTGTTACTGATGATGATGTCTGAATGGAAAGACGTGGTAGAGCAGGCCAGGGCCCTACATGAGATGTAGTGCCACTGATGATGATGTCTGAATGGAAGGATTTGGTGGAGCAGGCCCGGGCCCTGCATGGGATGTGGTGCCACTGGTGATGATATCTGAATGGAAGGGTGTGGTGGAGCAAGCCAGGGCGCAAAATGGGATGTAGTGCCACTGATGATGACTTACCAATAAATAAAGCTATGCCCAGACACTTGTAGCCATGCACATGTTCATCTATGAGGTTGTAAAGTGGCTGCATGATGTTCATATTTACTGTGCTGCCCTACAAGATAAGAAATTAATAAATACTAGGGCTTAACCTGTTGCAGTTTTTATACACCAGATCTAGGTATTTTGAGAAAAAACACAGTGAGTCCAAGTGTTAAAAAAAAAATGTATCTTCTCATTTTTCTAAAATGTGTATATATTTATATATGTTGTATGTAGAGTTAATTTTTTTTTTTTAAATAATTGTATAATTGTTTTAAAATGTTACCACTCGAGAGAAGCTCAGCTGCAGACCAAACACCATGTTTAGTTCTTTCCCTTGAAACCACTTGACTGCAAATGTGTTCTGTGCCACAGCCAAAGACTCACCCCCAATTCTGTTTAAAGAGGGGGGGGGGGGGTTGCATTTTTTTTAAAATAAATTTTTTACAATCCTTTACTAAAAAAAAAGCAACACAGTCAAAACAACGATACTTTATTTTTCAAAATTTATATGCCCATAACTGATAAAGGATAAAAAAAAATTTTTTTTTACATTTTAGGACATATCAAAGTATGTGTTGCTGCTGGCCACTGTTATTTTTCCCAATAGATATTTTACATTTTCCAACAATAAGATTGTACTTTATATCTGGAATCAAAGTTTTTTTTCTTTACAGCTGATAAAATTGATGCATTCTATGATATATATTTTATACTTACAATATTTAGCAGTTACTTGAAAGATAAATATTATTAAATATTTACTCAAAGGGAGAAAAAAAAAAGAAAAAAAAAAAGAAAGTATAACTGTGATATAAATATACATTTTTCATGAATACAACTTAATTGAATGATGATCGAGTATTTTTACTTCTACCAAAATAATCATCCACCATAAATCCACTTACCCAAATACAAATCTACCAACACACATCAAAGCATATATGTTGAAGAGACTTCCTAGTGCAAAGATGACCTGTTCATTGATGAGCAGGACAGTTCAGGAAGAAAGAAAAGTTATAAAATGCTTTAGGCTTTGTTTTCTCTACAAACTCTGGCTAAATTTTATGCACATAATTGGTTTATTTTTTAGTCTTCTAGCCTTGACCCCATTGAACTATTTTTTGGGGGTTATTTATCAACCACAAAGAATTTTACAGGGCTAAATCCATAAATGGGAAAGGGGTTCATGAATTTGTGTGATGGGGGTTCAAATTGTTATAACAAATTTGTAACGATCGGGTTATGGATAGAAAACAGTCATAAACAGTGTGAAAGTATTTATTAATAGCCAATAATAAAGCATAATTCCATAATACATTTACTGTATATACTTGTCTGTATAAGTCTGACGTGCATCTACAGGAGTGGTAGACACTATTTATGACAATATGTGATCAGAAAGAAGGAGAGGGGGCAAAATAAACCAAAACGGTGTGACATAATTTATGGACGGCCTCTAATGAGCACAAATTTATTATTTTTATTTTAACAAGTAACCTTACCTGGCCCACTGTGACAAACATGCTGAAGATAATTGCACCCAACCTGACGCCAAACATACGGTCAATGAGGTAGCCTCCAAACATGCACAGAACCACATTTGGCCATGAATAGAATGAGTAGAAGGCCATGAATTTACTCTCATTTATATCAAGGTCTCTGATCATTGTGTCTTGCAAGGCGGCTGGATTGTCATAGCAGAAATAACTCCCTGAAAAAAAAGATTAGATATCAGATGGAAAATTGATTATCTTTTCAATAAAGTAGACATAAAATGATAATGTGGTTAAAATAATTGAAGAGCAAGACTTGTTTAGATAGAGATTAATATCTACACAGGGAGGGTATCGGGAACTGGGGGTTGGAAGTCCTGAGGCAATAGAAACAAATGTGTTAAGTGTTTTCGCGTCAACAGTTCCTTTTGGAAGCTTGTTCCAGTCCTTAATTGTCTTTGGCAGGAAGGAGCAGATCCTGTACTGTGCTCTTGATGTTATGAGCCAGAACTGCCTGTGATGACCTCGTTGCTGTCTAGGGGAGAGAGGGATGAGTTTCTGTTTGATGTTGGAGCAGTGGACCAGCCCATTTTTTATCTTGTACCTCATGGAGAGCCTGGATAATCGTTGTTCCTCCAGTAATGACCAGCCCATTGTTTCCAGCATGCTGCCAACACTAGCGGCGTTCTTGTAGCGGTTCAGGACAAAGAGTGCTGCCCGTCGCCGGACCGCCTCAAACTTGTTAATGCTCCTGTGAGAGAATGGGTCCCAGACTGAAGATGCGTAATCTAAAAGCGGCCGGACAAAGGTTTTTTCTTTCACACCGATCTTTAGATTTTGCCTTAAGAACTCTAGGGTCTTGTTTGCCTGGTTGCACACATTGTTAATATGATCTTCTGGCTCAAGCATATGGCCATGAAGTTTAAAATGGTGGTGTAGAGGGGTACTACTTCTAGAGACTGACACTTTGCAGATGAAATTCCATGTCCCAGCTCATATCCCACTCCACATCATAGTCAGATGCCTTTGTGAAAACTTTGTAAATTGAAAAATTGGTAGGGGACTAGGCTACAGGCTCATCTAGCCTTAACTGATTATTAACTGTAACTTAGTTAGATTAGAAGCTGCCTGCCTTTTAACTTTTACTTTTTAGGCCTCCGTGACATGGTCATGGTCATTTCATTAAAATAATCTTTTTAAAAAAGTTATTAGGCTTATAAACTAACCATTATTAGACTAGCTTATGACAAAACTAAAAAAAATATTTATTAAATTTTTACTAGGCTAAATACAACTAACTACTAACTAGTATGGTATTAATTCAATTACCAAAGCTGAGAAAGCAGATGAGAATCAATACAGGAAAATAGCGGTGGAGACATGATTTAGGATTGCATGGCGGTGTTCCGCTGCAACCTTCAAGTTCTTCATCATCCTCATTGATTAGTGCTGTCTGCTCGTTCGCTTGACTCATGGCGTTATTTTATAAGATATTTAATATAAATCTAAATCTTTCATTAAGGTAGTATTTTAGTATGTTTCCGCCAGCCAAGTTTATTTAGGAATGATTCAGATATCTTGATGGTCACGAGACATCTATTTTTAGATTTAAAATCTAAAAAATGAGATTTTACTTTATAAAAAGTAATAGACAAAATTATAGCATTAGACTAAAAAAGTAATAAATATACAGAGCATAACTATATTAATAGTTTGTTCAGCTAATCAATGACTACATTTTTAATGACGAAAATACAAATAGTTTGTTTTGTTCATTTTTCTTGTTAATTGAGATTTTAAGAGTGACGTTGTGATCCGGGAATTTAGCGATTTCGTCGAATGCGGATAATTATTAAAAAAAAGACAGAATAAGGTAACAATAAACAAGTTTCTTTTTAATTAACAAATTCTTCAGGTTTCTTTATAAAGAACTCGTATTTGTGTAGAAGCTTAAATTTCTCGAAAATGAAATAAAATTCACTAAGCTCTAGGTTACATGCTAATAATCAAGATTTTTCTTTTTATGGTTGGACGTACCTAATACCGATAACGGGAAAGGAATTACACTTCTCAATCTGAAGGCCTTCGTTATGATTATCGAACAATTTCTTCATCCAAATCAGCTTTATCACTATAGGTTGCATTAATTATTCAGATTATTAATTCTAGTTAGCATATTGATATTTTTGTAATACTTCATTAGGTAAGTACGAAGTGAAAAAATTCAAAATAATTTTGGAATAATTTTTTCGAAGTGGATGCGTACACCGCGGCGGTGTACCTAGCGAAACCATCGGCTTCGGCCTGCGTAAACCGCGGCGGTGTACCTAGTGAAATCGTGGGCTTTGGCCTGGGTACACCGCGGCAAAAAATTTACCATTGGCCTGGTTTTAAGATATACTTGTTGGAGAGGATCTTGTGTGGTCAAGTGGTAGAGTGGACGCTTGGCGATAATATAGTTTGAGATCAATTCTCAGTAGGGGATCGAGTTTTTTTCCTCCCATTTTAGTTTTAAAATATTTTGTAGCAATTGAAACAATTTAAATATATGTTTAAATATTATATTAAATACACTTTATATATTTATTTATATATATAAGTGTTTCAACAAGTTGTGCCGGCCTTTGACTTTGAAAATACCGGTAACTTTAGTAATAAGACTTTAGACATTTGAAAACAAACTTAAAGTTTCTGAAAGCGCATGTAATACATGATGATCATGTATAACAGAAACATTATGAATACTAAGTGACTGATATTCTATTGTATTTCAACATTCTTCGTATAGTTGAATATTTACATTTTACTTTTACGAACAACCAAAGAAAATACCAGTATGAATAATATTCATGCATATGAATATTAATGTGCATGGTCGTATTTCAACCTTGAACCATCTTGCTTTCACTATGCCTTATGCATTGGCAAAATGTACATACGATATCAAAGGTTCATTCACAACACTCAGTCTCACAGCAAATCTTTTGAAAACACCTCGATTTTAGAAACTTGCGGAGCGGTAGCAAACTGTATAGCAAAGCCATAGGTCTGCGTTTACCCTTTTCATGACGTAATTTGTTTCCAGAATGGCATGGCATGTGCTATTCTCAGGGTAAAACACGACGTTTTCTCACAGAAACCATTGCACAATGCGCCTGGGACAGGATTTGCACTATGTCAAAGTTTTTGTATTTGTTGTTGTTTTTTTTTTTTAAGAAATCGATCCTTGCCGGGGAGTGGGGGGTGGTGGTGAGTTATGGGCAGAGGCTTAACCAAAAAGAGGGCATTCACAAATCACGGCTCAGGATAGGGGTTGTCCACAAAGGACGTCCGCACAACCAACTTACCTTTTGCATCCCCCCTCCCTCTGCCTGCATTTTTTTTACTAATGTGTAATGCCAATGTAAAACTAAATCAATGATTTTTAATTATTGTTAAAAGACTTTCAAATAACTGCAGTGTTTCGTATTGATCATCTTACTGCTGTTTTGTGTTGACACATGCTTGGTGTCACAATGACAATGCCTCGGACTACTTTAACTTCACGACTTCATGATCAATGTATGAGTATGTGATTCTCTTCCCGTAGTGTATTTGTGGCGTAATTATATCATGGTGCTAACAAAATAGATACACTGTCTTCCCATTCATTTTTACACCATGCCCCGAGGGATCACATACAATGTTATATTTATAAGGCACCCCCCCAAAAAAAAAAAAAAAAAACAAACCCAAAACAAAACAACTAACAACTGGGTGGGGGTGGGCATGAGAGAATAATTTCAAATTAAGATTCACAATCATATGATAAAACTTACAATTAATAAATATATTTGTATTTCAAGATATTGGGGGAGGGGGGAATAAAGTGGTTAACTTTAAAAATAAATCATGGTTTAACATTACCCCCCCCCCAGCCCCTTCCCTTCCAAAAATAATAAGAAATGCTTTACATGCACTTTGCCACATACGCGTGGACCTTACTCAATATCTTCCCAAGGTAATAAACGAATTTTTAATAGTTTTCAGTTTTAACACGAGTATAACATTAAATCTACAAGTACCGGTTAGGCCAAAAAGTTAAAGACTCGCAAAGACCATAGTTTGGCTACTGTAAATCGCTGCGGTGTACGCAGGCCACAGACCATGATTTAGCTAGGTACACCGCCGCGGTGTACGCAGGCCAAAGTCAATAGTTTCGCTAGGTACACCGCCGCGGTGTACGTAGTGCCGGCCTAATTTTTTACATTCATTTTCATTTTACAGTTATTTAGAGTTGGAGCAAATTTACCCAAATTTCAAATAAAAAAATGAAACCAGAATCAACTTTTTAGCTTTAGAACCTATTGAGCTAAGAATTTTTAAAGTGCGAATTCGTTTGGTATTTATTTACTATGGTTATGGACATGGACGAAACCTCCACATTACCACATCTTGTGGGCAGCATGCTGGAAACACTGGGCATCTCATTCAGCTGATCACGTCATGCGCAATGACTATATTATAGGCAACGCATCCCCTTATTACTAAAATACTGTTAAGGACTACTTATTTTGAACTTTCAATTTTGGCACATGACTAATTTAAAAGCTTTCTCTGACCAATGGTTTACTAGTTTTTGCACACAGCAAACCTTTATGAATGAAACTCTTGAGATAGTACTACGGCGCATTATGCAAGTTCTGTGAATGGCTGCCCATGACAACGTTTTGCACACAGCAAATCATGATAATTTATAATATGGACTTAACCGGAATTTTTAAACTCAAATTAAAATATTATTTTTCAAATAACATGTAAGTTTATTCTAAAACAAAAGTCATCAAATATTTTGATGTAAATAGTGGTAATAATTAAATATATCCCAAGGATCTGCATCTTCCGGCATTGAAAAGGGGGCGCGTTCCATACCATGTCGGAATTAGGATGAGCGACATTATGGTAATGCGGGTTATTGGGACAAGCTGTAGCGATCGTTGGACACGACCAACATAAAGGAGAATTGGCATACATATACATCATTATATGATGCTTCATAGAATTTAATATGAAAGTCATGATTTTTACATTTTTGAAGGAAAGATGCCTTATGGATACCATATGAATTTCTAAAACTTAGATCAATCAATCAAACAAGGCAAAACAGTTTGTTACTGTAGGTCAAGACGTCCCCTAATGTGAACATATGGAAGGATACCACAATTTTATGACAAAATTGTCCTTTTATTAAAGGAAAATCACCAGTGTCCAAAAATTTAAAAATTGGATTATTCTGTGCCGTCGCCCATTTCCTATACAAATTTTGAAGTAGGCTCCCTTGCTTTACCGAAGTGCCTAATATAGGGTTAAAGTCAAAAGGCACTTTCACTTACTTAATTATTAGTAGGCATTAATATTATGACCATAGGTATAAGGTAAGATAAAATTCTTCATTGATCCAAATAAATAGTAATAATGTCTTTTGATTACAAGGTACATATTTCACCATAATTTTGTTCATTTTCAGCACATAAATAAATATATAATTTATATTTTAACAAATACTGTATTTTACAATCAAAACAATTCAAACACAAGACATCTCTAGTATTTCTCTAGCATAGTTATCAGCCATCAATGAACTTCCTTAGTAGGGAGAATTATGATTGTGACTTAATTAGTAATCATTTAGAATGGATAACCGTTAGGAGGAGCATGCTGGAAAATTTATACTGACTGGGACTGTGGAACAAAATAATTTTTATTATAAATTATTATATCTTTCAGTCCTTACTTAAGAAGTTACTTTAATTGAAAGAATTCACCCTGATTGAGCTGATCTTTTATCTGATGAAGAGGGTGTGATGCATCTTAAAATAATTTATCTTCAAATTAAAATAGTTGTTCAAGCCAAAATTAAAGGATGTTTAGTTTGTGTGATATTACTAACTTTCTTGAATAGTCTATTTAATCGGTGTTTGGTGTAAGACGATGAATTCCAACACAAGTTCCTACTCCTAAAGAATATCTGCAAGGGGTGGTGGCTGGGTTGAGAGTGGTTTAAGAGCTTTACTGACATTGAAGGGTGACATTGCTTCAACCTTTTAAACTTTCCCTTCTCCTCACTCACATCAGTGACAGAAATTGTAATCCCATCCTCTATTCATTAGAAAATCCTTTTCTCTCTCTTATGTGTCCTTTCATTTGCCATACCCTATTGCAGTGTCTATATCCAGACCTGTTTACTCTTACGATTTTGGCGTACAATGTACGATTTTGAGGTGTTAGCATGTATACTGTATGTTAATTTTTTCCTATAAATATAAGGTATTGAACGATTTTGTGATAATATTGTACGATTTTAAGAGTTTGAGAGTAAACAGGTCTGTATATCTCATGTAAATTATGATGTTTGCTGTCTCTTCCTGTCTCCAAGTTTCTCTACATAGCATCCCTTGTCTTTTTCTGCTAAGGCTAATGTCTTCACTTCCTTGGCCTTTAGTCTACAGGCACATTAAGGGCCTTTTTTGGGCCTAAATAATTTGTGTAGTTGCTCTTTTATGTAGATTTGGAGTCTATGGATCTTTGACTCTCTTTCTGGTTAGTCTTATTGTCTTCAATTTAAGCTTCTTTTATTTATCAAACCACTGTATCATCTCATTTTCTCTATATTCTCTTCCCTGCTTCTACCTGTTTTGTATGAGTCATATCCAAGGGCGCTGAATCTGTTGTTTTTTTTTTGGGTAATTTAGCCAAACTAAGACTTACCGTGTCGAGATAATGCTACCTACTGTGTGACTGTACCAAATTCTTGCCTTCTTGAGCTAGAGTTTTAGCTTTAACACTAAATGGTTGTGGTCATGTCTGATATCGCTCTCACATCCCAAAGGAACGCCATTATTTTCTTTCTTTTTTTTAAATAGAAGAAAAACGTTGTTCTTTCCCTATTGTTGTTATAATCTCCTATTAAGCCTTGCTTTTCAAAAAATTATTTCTCTCTCTTCATTTTTGATAGCTAATTATTTGGAATTATAGTAGATCGTATAGTAATTGGTTTGTTTATCTTAGCCCTTTGGATTAACGATATATTGAATGAGAATGTGTATACCTTCCCACAGCTGATTAAAATAACATTGTACATCCGTAACTGGTAGATCAGTCTAATACCACAAAACCTATTTCCAGGGTCTCCAAACTATGGCTCAGGGTTTGAATCTAATACTCATGATTCCACTTGCTAAGAATAGATTTGCCCATGAAGGGCTTTGGTCTGCCTCACCGCTTCCTTCCCCTCAGACCTAACTGATGCTTTTCTTTTCCATGCTTATATTCCCAGCTGCTGCAGATCTTTTTCCACATCATCCATCCCTCTAAGCCTAGGTCTGTCTTTGAGCCGTTTTCCCCTGGGGTTTTGATGGTGCACCCTGGTCACTCCTTTGTCATTTGGCATTCTTTCTAAGTGTCCTGTCCACTGTGGCCTACCCTTTTTTATTTCTGCTACTAGCCTGTGATCCTGATATAGACTGAACAGTTCCTCGTTGGTTCGTATTCTCCATCCATATTCATCCTGTCTTGGTCCATATATTTTCAGGAGAACTTTTCTCTCCCACCCACATGTAATAAGTTTTCTGCCTTTTTAATGAGTCCAAGTTTCACTTGCATATGTTACAACTGGTCTGATAACAATTTTATATAAAATTCTCTTTGTTTTTCTTGTAACGATTTAACTTTTGAGTATTTTGTGACCACTTAAGTATGCCCTGTTTCCAGACAATATTCTAACTTTTACTTCTGTAAGTAATTCATTTCTATCAATTAATAAATATCCTAGGTAGTTATACCGATTTACTTTTTCAGAAGGGTGATTTCTAATTTTAATGGTTTCATCTCTCTGTTCTTTTTTTATCATAGTCATGTATTTTTTTTTTGTTGTTGTTGTTGTTCACTTCCATCAGTGCTTGTGATGGGTTTTTTTAATTCAATAAAGGCTTTTGATATGTCTTTACTACTTTTCCCTAACTGGTGCATGTCATCAGCATATGCAAGTTAGAGTTGATTGTAGAGAGTTTTTATTGGTGATGGGTCTTATGTCTCCCTCAGGTTCCTCAGGTGTCAATATGTGTTTCTTTGGGTTTTTTTAATTCAATGAAGGCTTTTGAAATGTCTTTACTACTTTTCCCTAACTGGTGCATGTCATCAGCATATGCAAGATACTAAAGGGGTTGATTGTAGAGAGTGTCTATTGGTGATGGGTATTGGGTCTCCCTCGGGTTCCTCAGGTGTCAATATGTGTGTTTCTTATAACTTATGTTAGGTTAAATAGCATACAAGACAGTGAATCTCCTTGTCTTAGGCCTCATCTAATCTGAAATCCTTTGAATATTCTCCCCAAACCTTGATTTTGCCTTTAGTGTTGTTTAATGTTACATATATTAGTCTTGTCATTTTGTTGGGTATGCCAAACTCCTGCTGAGTCTCAAATAGATATTTTCTTTTGATGCTATCATATACCATTTTATAGTTCACATAGAGTTGATGTACTGGGATATTATATTCATAAAATTTCTCTAATAGGCATCTGATTGTAAAAAGCTGATGAGTCGTTGATCTGTTTTGCCTAAATCCACATTGGTAGGCCTCTTAGTATTTGTTCAGTGTACAGTTGTAGACATTTGGCAATTGCTTTTGCCAGTATTTTGTATGTAACATTTAATAAGGAAATTCCTCTGTAGTTTTTGTATTGAAGTTTGGAACCTTTCTTGTCTATTGGCATTGGGGTTATTAGTGCAGTTTCCCATTCTGTTGGAATTTTCTCTTCCTTCCAAATTGTAGTTAAAAGTTTATGTATCTGATTGTGTAGTTCTCTTCCTCCATGTGTAATAAGTTCTCTGCTGTGATGAGGTCTTCTCCAGGGGCTTTGTGGTTTTTATTAAATTGATTACTTCTGTAGTTTCTTCCAAAGTTGGGGTGTTTAGTGTTGGTTGATAATCCTCATCTTGTCCTTTGCATTTAGTATGCCCACAAAATATTCAGCCCACCTTCCCAGTTCTTTACTATTTTTCCTAATGAATTCTTCATCATGGCTCTCACACGTTTGAGGTCTGGCTTCATATCCATTCTTTTCATCTTTTATCTTCATATCCATTCTTTTCATCTTTTATCTTCATGTACATTCCTATGATATTTCCCTCTCTTGATAAGTCTTCTATTTCTTTTAGTTTAGCTTTTTCTCATTCCCTTTTTTCTTCCTACACATTTTTTGTCTTTCCTTCTGTCTTCATTGTATGTTTGTCTTGTCTTTCTGGCGTCCCTTGGTATCATGGTCATTTTTGCCTTGTTCCCTTTTTTTTTAACAGTCTCTCTACATTCATTACAAACCCACCAACAGTAGTTTGCTGAAGTCCTACTAATTTTTCTGCTGATCTTTTCATAGCATTTTTTGTATCATATCCCACTGTTCATTTAGGTTCTTTTCCCTGTTTATTTCCTCCTGTGATGCTCTGAGCTGTGCATCTACTTCATTTTGGTAAGCTTTTGCGGTTAGTAGGTCTTTATTAAGTTTTTAGTAATCATATAGTTTTTCCCTTAGATTTCGGCAATTGTGAATTATGCTTATTCTCTGCTTATATTAACTCTTACAAGTAGATGGTCAGAGTTTGCATCTGCTCCTCAATAGCTTCTTATGTCTAGTATGTCTGATCCATGCCTCTGATTGATTATAACAGGATCAATTTTGTTGCGGATGATTCCATCTGGTGAGTCCCAAGTAATTTTATGTATAGTTTTGTGTGGAAACTTGGTGCTGCTAACTATCATCCCTTTCCCTGAAGCCAAGTCTATGAGTTGGATCCTATTGTAATTAGGGGTGTGCCGGACCCCGGTCCGGAATCCGGTTCCGCCGGATTTTGCACTATCCGGTGAAATCCGGTTCCGCCGGATTTACATGTATCCGGAACAACCGGATTCCGGAATCCGGAATATACCGGATTTCGGAATTTGCCATATTTTGTGACTCACCGGATCATAATCTGAAATAAAAGTAATTCTCTTTCCCGATTTCCACACGATCACGATACATTAATCGATTGTTTCGAGCGTTGAGCTTGTTTAATGTTTAATATTCCGTACATACCAGAGGCTAGAGTCAGCACCGCTAATAGTGGCAAATAGTGTAGGGACTTTGATAAGAAAATTTAAACTTTTTGTAAAAATAAACCAATGGCATAGTTGAAAAGATGTAATTTTTTAAAGAATTATAACACCAAAATCATATTTTTAGCTGTTGTAGTTTTAAAGTTATGAATTTTTAAAGTACGACTTGGTTTGTCATTTTTTAACATGGACTGCATCTCCACATTCTGTGATCTCATTCCGCCAATCCCGTCATGCGCAATGACTATATAGTTTATATAAGGCAACGCATTCCCTGCCTTATCACTAAAATACTATTTAGACTTAGTTTAAACTTTCAACTTTGGCACATGAATAATTAATTAAAGCTTTCCCTGACCAATGGTTTAATAGTTTTTGCACACGGCAAACTCTTATGAATGAAACTCTGAGGTAGTACTACGATACAGTTATGCAAGTGGCTGTGAATGGTTGCCAATGACAACGTGTTGCACACGGTAAATTCTGATCATTTATAATATGGATTCTACCGGGTTGTTAAAGCTCAAATTAAAACATTCCAGTTTAAATGTCTTTAAATGCATTCTGAAACACAAGTTATCAATTATTTTGATGTAAATAGTGATAATAAATTAATATTTCCTAAGTATCGTCAACTTCCGCCATTAAAAAGGGGGGCGTGGCCAACCCCATGGCGAAATTAGGTTGAGCGAGCTGCATGACCTGCTGCGAACGCGTAGAAACATGGCGTCTCTCGTAAGACACTTATCCAAATGGAACGGAACTCAAATATATATCGAAAGTACTAATTTAATAATAAATAGACACACACATCGGAAAATTAAAAACTCGGATTTTTTGGCGCCGATTGCGAATTCCCATACACAAAAAGTAGTAGTCCACCTTGACTTACCGAAGTATCTACCAATAGTACCAAAATCCGGAATCCGGGAGAAACCGGAATCCGGATCCGGCGGATTTCGCATAAGAAAATCCGGATCCGGATCCGGTTGGAAAAAACGGATCCGGCACACCCCTAATTGTAATTGGATTCTTCAACGCTCCTTGCCAATAGTTCTCATAAACAATTTTTTTTTGCCTAGCTTTGCATTAAAGTCACCAATCACTATTTAATATCATGTCATGGTGCCTCATCATAGATCTTTTCCAGTGTCTCATAAAAGTATTCTGTTATATGGCCTCCTGTATCTTTGGTGGGAGCATGAACATTTATAAATGTTATATTAAACACTTTTCCTTGCTCACTCAAAGAGCATAATCTTTCATTTTCTTTTCATTTTCATAAAACCTATGACTGCACTGACCACTTCTCTCTTCACAGTTTATCCAGTTCCAAGAGTGTTAGTGTTGTTGCTACCAAAAAGTATGGAGTAGTCTTGAGGATATTTGCATTCTTCCATCAAATTTCTTGCAATGCAGCAATAGAGATTTTATATTTAATTATTTGATTTATTAGGTTGGCTAAGCCTCCTGCTCCAAACAAGGCTTAGTTCATTCCAAGCCACAATCCAAAAATCATGTCCTCATCCAGACATAGGTCGATTTCCATTAGAATCAGTCCAGATTTTATTCTATTGTTTGGCTTTCGTAACTTTTATTTTTTACATGGTCGGGCTGTTAACCCTGTGCACAACCGCCTGAGGGCTGCCCCTTACAGCCTTAATTTCTGGGTAAGGTTCCCTAGCCTTTGTGGGTTTCTCCACGTCCTACAACAACAAGGTAGTAGTTTCTGATTTTGGTCCACCCTGGGTATTTTATTTACCCAGTACTCACCATATCTGGTGGCCTTTTACCTATCCGGCACCTGGAATTGGCTAGATGGAAGATCAGTATCGACGCACATGATTTGACACTTTAATACAATAAAATTTTAAAGTACTCATCCCCGTGGATTAATAATCATATGCTGCTTGATGAATTCTGCTTCAGCACCACACATTGAATATTTGGCAATGCTTTCAATTAAATATGCATATTTACACACCCCTCCCCTTATGGACTGTCCCATTTTCACCCATCCCCTCTATATCCTACATTTTAAATAGCCACTCCAATTGGCAACAGTCATTTAAGGCTCACTTGTATTTATGCCTCACTAACTAGAGTATAGTCATTAAATAGCATAATTATATAACACCTAGGGAGGTAAATTACATTTGAGATCAAAAGAAGCTGGCCCTGCTTCATTTAGGTTTCCTTTTGCAACTCAAATTACAAAGACATTTTTGGTCACCACAAAATTTATAATTATTAGTTTTCAGAGTGATTGATTGACAGTATTGAATGTATGAGTAATATTCATGCACATGAAATCTATTTTAATGGCATAAACAAGGTAAAGCACAAAGTACATGATGGAACAGACCCATCGCCTAGAAATTACTAACAACAATATAACCATGATAATTGCTTCAGGTTTGGTCAAATAAACCTGAAATTGTACTTACTCAAACTAATCAATTTTTAGTCCATGCTATTTTGAAATTCATTTCAGAGCTAATTTTCAACCCAAGTACAAATCTCTACTAAAAGTGTGAAATAAATGTCTGACTATAGAGGACGAGGTAGCCGTGGAGGTGGCCGAGGCAGGGGACGTGGAATGCCAAGAGGTGGTCCACGTGGAAGTAGCAGAGGAGGTTATTCCTCTGAACGTGAAGGGGGAAGAGGAGGATATAGAGGCCGTGGAGATGGGTTTTCTAGAGGAAGAGGTGGACCTCCAAGGTAATTATCTCCAGCTCAAAGATTTTTTTTCTTTCTCTCTGTTCAAGTTCAACAAGAAAAAATTGTGGCTTTCCATTTCCTGACTTTTTTTAATATTGTATTTAATTTGAATCATGGGCAGATCTAGGATTAGTCAGGCCTTTTTTTAAAGAGTTTGAGCTGAGCCAAACTGTTGAGGTAAATATTTGAAACAAGGTATGGGGAGAATCTGAAAATAGGAAGCATCAAAACAACGTATGTGTCGACAAGAAGCCTTCTTTAACCAACTAACAAAGACTAATACAAATATAAGCTTAGCTGAATTGTTTTATCCCAGAGGACCACTTAATAATGTTGAAATTATTTTATTTACAAGTTTATTTCCAAGAAATAACAAAAATTATTGGTATTGCCAGACACTTGAGTCGTGATGATGACTCTCCACCAAGAAAAGTTCCCATGATGTCAAGGAGTTATGACTCAGACAGAGGCAGGGGACCACCACTAGGTAAATATAAATTTTAATATAGTTAAGATGTAATAGTGCTGTTATGATAGGTGTGTTAATAAGGAATGTATTATAGACTTGAAAACTTTATCAAAAGTATACCACTATAATGTCAATTTTTAATTTTTATATTTGCATAAGGTATCAACTGTTAAACTTGCAAAATATTTGGACTGTGGGGGGCATAGTTAACAAATTTTGTTACTCTTTTGGTTCAGCGTTGAAGAAATGGTCAGGTTTAGCTTATTACGCAATATTATTTTCAGGTCGAAGGGGTGACAGGAATGATGACAGTTATGACAGAATTCCATCTGGCAGATCTAGAGATCCATATCCTTCTCCACCAAGAGATACAAGCCGAATACTTGACAGGTAGATTTCTTTTGATTAGCTCAAGGCTTTTTTTCTCTTTTTCTAATTTATTTTGGTCTCTGTTGTGCTCCGGACCCACACACACGCCACCACCACCCCCCACCACCCTGCACAGCTTCTTATTAACCTTTCTTTTTATACTTTAGACTGTCTCCTCCGCCAAGAAGAGATAGAGACTATGGCTCGGGCTCAAGGGGTGATTATTTGCCATCATCGCGCAGTTACAGTTTAACAAGAGATACAGGGTAGGAATTTTACTTGTGGAATAGCTCTAAATTATTGAACTAAAATGAAGTGTTGAAGTTTGTGCTTTTAACTTAGTTAGGCATGTCTAAGGTTTTGGCTTTAAAACTTGAGCCTGCAATTTTTTTGATGACCCTTGCGCGAAGGCTGTACCCAAATCTTTGCATCACTGCTGCGAAGTAAACCCATTGAAATAAGAACAGTTTCTTTTAGGTTGATTTGCAGTGGTGTTGTTTTTTGTTTTAGATTAGATCCTAAATTAATTTTTTTTTTTTTTCCAAATGATTTGTTATATTGTTTTTTATTCTGTTGCATAATGAAACAATGTATGATTGCTGCTGATTGCCTTGTCAGTAAAATTTCTGTGCACTTGATAACATGACCACTGAGTTGTATGTCCAAGACTGGCAGCAATGTTTTTAAGCCTAATTTAAGTGAATGCTTTCTTCTTCTTCTATATTTTAAGGGCCCACGATCAATTTATTGATCATTTTGGCTCCTATGCATGTAGATGGGATTTGCAATGTTTCTGTTACTGGTGGTGATGAGGAAATTATGCACTAGGGGTTTGAAGGCTTGAGGCAATAGACACAAATGTGTCTAGTGTTGTCGCCTCAACTGTTCCTTTTGAAAGATGGTTCCAGTCCCTGATTGTCTTGGGCAGGAATGAGCAGCTCCTATACTGGCTTCTTGCTGGTATGAGCCTGAATTGCCTGTCATGGCCTCGTCGCTGTCTATGGGGGAGAGGGACGAGTTTCTGTTTAATTTCCCGCCTAATATTAAAAAGTTATTGTTTTACACAGCTCCAATAATTTTAATTTTGAAATTTGATTTTACAAATATTAGGGTGGTGTCACTTGGAATAATACAGAAGATTTAAAAGCACTGCACTTTTTTGGGGGTAATTTGTGAGGCATTTCAGATTTTAGTTTTGCAAATATTTTAAGCAAATGTCACTCTTTGAAAAACATTTTTTCATCAATGTAAATTTTTGTGCCTTTAAAAAAGAAGTTACAGAGAATCGTACAGTACAAACTTGAGAGAAGACAGACGTGATTCTTTCAGTCGGCCAAGTGTAAGAGACTATGCCTCTCCTCGTGGTGCTGGAGGAGACTTTGCCACTGAGAGAAGCAGGGATTTTAGAGACTCACCAAGAGATTATGGAGCATCCAGAGACTATCCACCGAGGTCCTCAGACTTCAGGGATCTTGGCAGAGATTTTAGGGATGGACCTCCACGGGACAGGTAATTGTTAACCTTTAATTTTTTTCATAGAGTTCCTTTTTTAAGTTGTGTGCTTTAAGTTGTTGTAGGTGTAATGTTTGGTAGCTATAAGTTGCATGCCCTAAGAAGTCATATATAGTTGATGTATTGTTTTTGTAGCTGTAAGTTGCATGACATTTTTTATTTGTTGACATAGTGAAGTTGATAACCAGGTTAATATTATTGCCTTTGTAATTTACAAGAATCCTAGTCATTTCTCGCCTCAATTGAAGCTGTATAGAGTGTATGATTTTAAAGAGTGTAATATATAGTGTGATGTTTGTGTGTGAATATTTTTGTAACGTCCAACTGTAAATTGTCATCCCCTTTTAATTATTTAATATCTTTTTTTATTGAAAAGTCTATTTAGTCATAATATTTGTTAAAAAAGTCAAATTAAATAGTTTTGTAGAGACAATCCTTTTTTTAGTGGGAGCTCTCTTTTTGCAGGTTATCTCATCGGCATTTCGACGGTGATCGATCATTTTCGCCAAAGGGTGGGGTCCTAATTGAAAGTCGGAGTGGTGGGCCACCTAGTAGGCGAGGTGCCCCTTTTGATAATCGAAGTGGTGGCCCTATAGAGGGCCGAGATCACAACCATGGTGGGGACAGGTAATGTGGGTCTGGAAGTTTGATGTCAATTTTTTAATTGTTCTGAAATAATGGTTCTTAAAAATTAATTAAACCCAGACACTCAAAAGAAAAAGGATAGTTTAAATTTTGTTTAAATTGAAAATCAATTATTTTAGTCAAATAAATTTATTTCAGTTTTATTATCGTTATTTTTTTCCCCACATTTTACCCTTTTCCATATTATCTATACTCTTGTGCTTTACTCGCTTGGTGCTAATCTTTTAAAACAAAAAAGATATCCACCTTTGCTTTGAAAGGCAGTGACTTCTAAAAGTATTTAAAAATGAAATTAATCTAAACTTTGATTGGTCACCATGTTTCAGCCTAATGGTCACGTTTAAAAGGAGAGGTTAGGGACTTTCATTTTAAATTCATGCCAGGTTAGATTAAGACATACAATTTGAAATGAGGATTGATATAATGAAATGACCAGACACAAAATATCACACATTAAATATTGTCATTGAGAAAATTAAAAATAAAATATTTCATAAAACTTTCCTCTTATAAAATTCTCAGAAAACCATTGCCAATGCTAGCTCACTTTTGGGTTTTATTATTTGCTTTCAACCTATATATGTATTTGGATATCTACCTTTTCTGGGTCTTCATTTATTGTTTAAATTGTCCAGTGATTAATGATGAAGAGGGAAGCAAGAAGTAGTGAACAAGTATAGATAGAATTTTGAAAATGAATTTAAATTTCATTTAAATTGATTAAATTTATTTGACCAAAAGTTATATTTATTAACCTCTTTATTTTTGCTTTATACTTTCCTGCATTGCATTTTGCCTTTTCTACCTTTAAAATTTTATACATCCTATATTATTCTCCCAATATGTAGCTCTTTTTTGTCTTGCCTTTTTCAGACTGTACCCCTTTTTATTACAATTTAATACAGTAAATTCCTTTTTTTTTTTTAAATCCTTGAATTGCTCAATACTATAAATTCACTTAATATTAATTATTTTGATTAGAGAAAAATATCAAGTAAGCAATTTTGTAATTTAAAAAAATTAGCACTGTAAAATCAGTTGTTCAAAAGTTATTTTATTTTATTTCAATTTTTTTTTTAAATCTTGGGACAATTATACAAGTTCTTCTTGATTCTTAAATGATCTTCCTGCAGTTGTTGTTGCACTTAAAAAATAACACAAATGATATTGGTTACAACCAAAAAAGTGGAAAAGTTTATCACCACAAGAATGAATAAATCAAATTTTTTTAAAAATTTTTTTTTATAAAAACTTAAATTGTCAGTGAACTTTTACCATCTTAATTAAATTAAATTTATAAGATCTGCAGAAAACTGAATAAAAATGTATGCTAAAATTTAACTGTTGGCTGTGATGATCTGTTTCTTGCTAACTGTATTTAACATAAGCGGTACAACAACAGTTGCGGTGCAGAAAGGTCATGTAGTGTCTGCCAGTTCTCTCCAGCTTATTCCGCACAACTAACCACCATGCCAGAGCCATTATATGCTACCATCTCCCATCCACTGCCAAGTTCATATAGCATCTTAAAACAAATCTAGAGCAATAGGTTTTTCACAAATACATAACACCTATCTGGTCTTCCCTTTTTACCTTAAACCATATCTTCCCACTTCCAGCCATCTCTATTCAATCCTCACGGTTTGACAGGTTAATCACAATAGCCCTGTAACTCTTCCTGCTCTTCAAAGGCCATGCTCGTTTGTGTAATAGTGCAATGGTCATGGGTTTACACTTCAGGATCCACATGTGTATTTAGTTCCATGCAACAATAACGAAATATCTCTCTGTATTTGTTCAATGAAAGTCGGGGCGAGAGTCTAAATTCTGACGTGTTTAATCTATAAATAATATCTAGAGTTTGTGGGGTTTCTTTTGCATTTTCTTCTCTACAAATATATATTTCCTTTTTATTTTTAAACCAGAGATTACAACTCCAGTAGATTTTCTTCAAGGACAGAGGACAGAATATCAAGCAGGGGACCACCAAGAGAGTATTCAGGTTTGTCTTTTGCATGCTAATTGTATTTAAGAAATAAATTTTACGTTTGATTATAAGTTATGGCATTGATTTTTTAAAAACTAGATTACCATAGTGAGATGGTTAAATTTACTTACATGCCTTTGTTATTTGTATTCTCCAATTAAAAATAAAGGGCAAACCCCATTCTTTTGGGTCACAGAAAATATATCAGTTTTTTTTCTATTTTCTGAGTTGACATATTTAAATTTGAACATGAACTCCAAAGGAAATAGAAGATTATAAATAATTAGAATCATAAATATTTAGGAGGTCGTTATTAATTGTTGCTTTGCTTTATTAAGAAAGATATTTCTGGCAAGGCTTAACATTCACTGATTTATTGCCAATATTTTCTAATTATAAACATACATTTTTAATACAGAAGGCATATCCTTCAAGGATAAAACTTTTTTTCAAATCATTCTTTAAAATTTCTTTTAGGTCGTGGTGGGCCAAGAGGAAGTATGAGAGGTGGACGAGATGACCGAGGCCGTGGGAGCTTCATGAATGGTAAGTCCCTGGTACAGTTTTTTTTTCAGGCTTTACATTCAATGCTTAAAATTTGCAGACAGTATATATATGTTTTCCCTCTTGTGAACACAGCTTGTAAAGCCAGGATTGGATGCACATCTAATTTGAGAAAACTTAGAATTGTAAACGTTCTTTACACATTTTGAAATTCAATAAATCTTCCAATTAAGACTCCCCCATTACAAAACAAATATTATTTTTAAACAGTACTTTGAATCTTAACTCTGCAGTGGATGAACCCTTACATATTATGGCAAGGCATTGCAGATATATAGAGTGTATACATTGCATACAATTTTTTTAGTTGGATGCCAAACAAATTTTGCTTCATGTCATTGCACACATTTTCCTAATATGTTGCACAATCAGAACTTCCTCTGAGAAATTAGAGGCAACATTTTGGCTCATATGGCAGCTGATAAAATGTTCTTTAGTAAATGCTTAACAGATATTAGGTAGAATATTAATACTCTTTTAGCTATAATAACCACAAACATTTTAAAAAATATTTTTAAAAGTTCAAAAAAAAAAAAAAAGTTCTTGAACGCTGCTTAGGAGTCATCAAAAGTATGAATATTTTTTTTGACACATAATTATATCATCAGTAAAACACTGTTCACTTAAATGTTCTTTAGTAAATGCTTAACAGATATTATGTAAAATATTAATACTTTTTTAGCTAAAAAAACCACAAACATTTTAAAAAATATTTTTAAAAGTTCAAAAAAAAAAAAAAAAGTTCTTGAACGCTGCTTAGGAGTCATCAAAAGTATGACTATTTTTTCTGACACATAATTATATCATCAGTAAAACACTGTTCACTTATCTTATAATACTTGCATAATTTCATAAAGGTTGTGTTTATTCAGGATTTAAGAGATGAATATTTATTTGAAATATCGGTTATGCAGAGGTATAATCACTCTGGAAAGTCACTTGATACATTGAATTTGTTGAAGTGACACAGCAACCAATAAAGTGTCCTGAAATATTGAAGCTTGTTGCATTGTCAAAAGACTGCACTGAAGAAAAAAAAAATTGAAATATTTGTATGAACCGCCACACTCCTCCATCCGTTGCCATGAATTTTTTTTTGGAAACATGGTCACCAGTTGACAGATTTTGCAGACCACTCATGAAGGAACTCTAACAAAAGTTGTTTGTTGCATTAGTACTTGACGGAAATCTCTGACAAAATGTTGGCAGCTTATATTCAAAGTGTTAATGACAAGAAAGCCAATGATTCTCGGCTGTTTTCATTTAAACCGAGGACATATCGATTTAAAAAGTGAGCATTTATTTTACGATTAATTTGTTGAGGAGTCTACAAGATGCTATTTTGTTGGTGGGAAACCAACTGTTGGGAAAGATTGTTTTGGATTGGAAGAATGCTGGAGTGGCTTAAGGCAGAGCATTAGTGTGCAAGTGGGCAGTACACAACTGGGGCTGATTTTTTTGTGAGATGGTATGAGCAAGCAAGCTCCACCGGTATTGACGGAGAGAGAATGGAACTTTTAATTTTAATTGGAATCCTTGGATTAATCTGTATGATTACAAAACAAAGAGGACTTCAATGCAATGAAATACATTTTTATTTCAGTCTCAAAAAATTGGCCTATCGTGGTTTTTCTTGACAACAAATGAAAATAATTTTATAAATACATTGTTTCAGTATTATGCAAGTCCGTTATTTTATTTTCAGTCTTATAAGATAAATAGAAAGTCTTAAAGTTTTATTTTGGTTATCGCTAAAATTATTTTTTGAAAACATAACTTCAGAGCTCTTAATGAAGATTCCACTTATGCATCTTGTTTCAAAATTATTTATTTGAAAGAATTAAAATTATGATTTCCTGCTTAAAGATTCAGAAACATTGTAAATCTCCCTGAATAGCTCTTTAGTTATTGTTTTTTTTTTTTTTTAAGACAGTTACCAAGAAATAATCATTAATTTAATTCCATTATAATGTCAACATAAAAATATGTGCAGGTTCAAGAGGCAGAGGAGGGCCCCCAAGAGGCAGGGGTAGGCCTGAATTTTCAGGGGGGCGCGGGGGTAGGAGATCTCCCTCAAGCCGTGATGGTCCCCTTGGAAAAAGACCACGCGTGGAAGGGGGAGACAGCTATAGTAGGCGATGAAGACGCAGAGAGGATTTCAATCTGGAACATTTTCAGAGGATCATTGGAGGAAATTTACTTTGGAAGGAGCAGCAGCATTGGATGATACTGTATATATGTTTTTTAGACAATTCTTTGTAGTGTGTAGAATGGCATATAAATTAATATGTTGTAAAACAGTTTCCGAGGACCATTTCCTTAATTGACACAGCTCGCAGGATAAGATTTGAAGCTGAAATATTTGTTTGCCATCATCACTTCCTTAAAATTGCCATGGGATAGACACCCAAGGACATTACGGATCTGCATAAATCAATGCACTCTGTTCTCAATTGACTGTAAACATAATGCTAAAAATTTTGCCACTTAAAAGTATTTTTTTAAAATTGATTATTTTTACAAATGTATCGATGATTTTAAAAACTGGAATGCTCCTGCATTCAACAACAGACTCTACAACTGAGTTTGGATCTTTATCAATCAAATGAGGCCATGGCGGTAGACATTTTCCAGTGTTTTGCATGTTGTAAATGAAACAAAATTGATTCTACAATACAAATGAATGTCATTTTTTTAAAATTAACATAATTGCCAAAACTAGCCTCTAAATGGGAAACACGTTTGGAAGTCAACAGTTAAGTTGAGGAATCCTTCACTAATGTTGACAGGATACTCCATACACCAGGCTTAGTTTAATCATGGACTTGTATGTATTTGCTGTTGTTACGTCAAGTACTCTATTGTAAATGTTGCTATTGTTTTTATGGATGTTCCTATGAGATCATAGGTTTTGAAAAAATAAAGAAAGAAAATTAGGCGTTGTCATGTTGTCTTTAAGTGGAGAAAATGTTTAACATGACTATTTCCTGATAACTAGTTTTCATACTTACAACTTTTGATCAAGCAACATTGCAGAAAGATTGAAATAATCAAATTGAAAAGTGACTCTATTGACTAGGAAGGAATACTAATGAACTGGGAAACTTATAAAAAAATAATTAGTAGTTCCTAATTATTAGTGATTGATTCAAACATTTGCTTTTATTTTTTCTTAAACAGTTTATAAACTTAAATAAAAATGCAAAAATTATCATCTTTTAAAAAGCGTACTGGAAATTAGTATGAAACCAATTTATACTCAGGGATGTTGTTCCAATGAAAGTTAGTTTGAACCGAAATATTTGGAGGGGGGGGGGGTAAATTTTATTTAAAATTTTACATTTTCTCAGCTTCCCACTCGCATCTTCCCTTAAAAACATTTTTTTTTCTTAAATATCTGTTGAACTAACTATCGTTCAATATACATTCCTTGGTAAAAAGTAGTTTCGTCCTATTTTCTAGTAACCTTTTAAGAGGCAATAAAAGTAATAATATTGCTTGGTGAGTGTGCATTGAAGAAGCTCACTGGTTAATGCACCCAGAATGGAGTGGCCAAATCTTGCAGTTAACAGAAGATAGGAAAATATTTCACTTTTTGCCATGAATAAGAGGATCTGGATTTCCTGTACTTGAATATGTAACGCGCAAAACCTATACTAGAAATGACATTTGGACTCCACGGGGAAAAGGTATAAATTTGTTGAGACAATAGATATTAGAAACACACCACTAGACATTAGAAATGCACTGGCTATGGAAATCTTTTCAAAATATATTTATAACTTTCTAATCCGATAGTCAGAATGACAAAAGCTTTATCTCACACGTGGCAATACGACTTGTACAAAGGCTATGAATTACCACAATGTGACAGCTGGGATATATTGAGAGCACATTTAGTGATGACACTAAAAAATGTTGTCATTGCTCAGAAATGATTGAGAAAACGCGTGGTTTGCTGTTGTCCCTCTGACATGTTCCAATAAGAGTTCACTTGCACATGATTTGTCCAGGAAGTAAAGAAACTGCAAATTGAAGAACACTCCTTCATATAAATCATATTGTCTTTGCAAAAAGGTAATTTTTTATAAGTATATTATAGAACAATGGTCTGCTTAGGGTTTAAAGTATGATGGATGGGTAAGCTCAATCTGCCACCAAGGTGAACACTGTATACATTTTATTATCAGTTGTGCACCAATTGCTGGAATGGAGGAAAATGTCTAGTGAATTTTAAAAATGTAATTGCCAATCAAGCTGTGGATACTGTATAATTTTCTTGCATTCCTCTCTTAGAATTGAATTATATTTAGTTCCAAATATGGACTTGTTTGTTCTCATGCTTGTCTAACACATTGAGAAATATCTTTTGGAAACTGACGCCCATGCACGGATTGTATGGATTAGCAGATCATCAATAAGTACCGCCATCTATAAATGATTACCAGAAGGGGTTAAAGGAGATGCTGAAGGACTTAAAAAAAGGACGCCAGGAAAGCTGGTTAAACCTGGGAAGTTATTTGGTGTCTTGCAATAAACGAGGTAGGTTACTGAATTTAAAAACAAAAACGCCTTACTAATGATGAATCTTAGGTTAATTTAATCTTAAGAAGAAAGCTATTTGTTGTGTGTGTTGACGTTTTTTTGGATAATCATATTTGGTAATTGGTAATATTTTTGGAAGCAAACCCTTGTTTTTTTTAAAAAACATTGAAAAACTGAAGGCTGCTACTCTTTCACCCTGATGGAATTATCCTGTTTGTTTATGTTTTATGCCTGGATCGTTGATTATCAATTGCCAAAGGAATTTTTATAAATTGCTTTACATGAGGAGTTGCAACAAAAATGATGGAGCTATTTGGAAATTTGATCACATCTTAAACACAGGAGAAGAAATGTTGGCAAAAGATTGTTAAATGTGATTTTTTTAAATATTTTTGAGTTTAATGAAGGCTTGTTGAAACTGATGAAGCATTGTCTTCTGGAAAATAAACTCTTGAAAAGCAACCATTCTTCTCCTCATGGAAAAAGAACATCAAACCTTGACACATTCAATCTCTTGAGCCCAGTGGATCATTTGGTGACAATAAGTATCCTGTTGACATTGGAGATTACAGAATAATAATTTTAAATATTGAAAAACATAAGGTAATTTTAAGATGTTCAAGTCTTGTTAGATTGTATTCAAAAGGGCTGCATGGATTCCAAATGTAATAAATATGTGACTTGAGAAATGACCTGGGACATGTGAACATTTTGTTTTGGAACAGAGGCCTATGCTGGACATAACCTGCAAGAAAATATAATCTCGAACTCAAAAGTGATCGAAGATTTAATTCGGAAAATATTTTCCTGTTGGATTTGTCATCCCATAGTTTGGAAGAAATTGTCCTGTTTTGCTTCTTCACAAAGACAGAGCCTGGAATAGATTTCACCAACTAAGGATTAATGAGATGCTGAAGACATTTGGATTTAGATTCAAATCTATTTGAATGCTCAAGACGCACAAATGAAACCAACATCTTTCCTGTTGCAATTGGATTTAATCTCTATTTAACGCCACTATTTCAACATCTTTTAGTTGAACAAAGTTTTGTGCACATAATTACATGTACCCGGTATGAACATATGTTAGACTTGCAATAAATTTTTTAAGATGTCTAATTTCCTTAAAGTTGTCTTTCCACCGTAAGATAAAAGCTATAAAAACACTGAGACTCGGAAATCATATTCAAAGGGAAACTGAAATCCTATTCCAAGGAAACCTGATGTCATTTAAAGTATTGTTCAGATGAGACATTTAAGTAAATAAATAATTTCATTGCTGTCATAGACAAGGTGATATTTTTAAAGCAGTTAATTGATGAATTTAAAACATTGTATTAACCCTTGTGGATGTACTTGTAAAATGGAATCATTTTCTCTGCATTTATGAAAGTTTTCAAGATTTCCAAAACTGAATGTGGTGCTCAATTCTTTGAAAGTTTTTAATTTGCTTCTAGTCATTAAAAATAAAGACGTTTCTCATGGCCCTATAAAATATAGCTGACAACTGGGATGAACTGGAGAAAATTTATTGTTATTTAGACATAACGTCGGAGGCGCTATTTGATTAATACGACAAGTTAGTGATTTTATTGGGTTTTGCACCATCACCTCTAAATTATTTCAACTAAAAATCATTAGAGTTTAATCACTTCCATTTGCTTATAATGTATTTTGTACTGTATCCAATTAATTTATTTGTATTATTCTTGACAGCATGCTGTACTGATCTCCTTTATGCCGGTGACTCACACGGTTTGGATCTGATCAAATCTGATGGAAATGAGGTTAGCATCAAAGATGACTTTTATGACCAGCGCTGGGCGGTTTCTGTCTGTGACAAGATGAAAGCTAATTCAGATTTAGGTAAGTATTTTCTGTTAAGCCTTTTTTTTTTAACCTTCAATGTAAAACAAGATTTCCCACAGCATGGGTAGCGAGGTGGCATTTCAAGGGATGTGAACAAAAGTGACTTCAAGAAAGAGGAGGTAGTGACATTTAAGTTCTGTAATAAATTTGTACATGTATTTTTTAAAAATTTCTTTATAAAATCTTAATTAATGTACCATACTAGACACAGGTTCTACAACTCCTTTTTTAATTCTATAAAATGATTGGAGATGTATTAATTTTCCAATTTTAAAACGATGAATTTTAACTATTGTAGTGTGGTGTGCGAGGCTTAGTCAAAACAAATTGTAATGTGGTGTGCCAGGCTTAGTCAAAACAAATTGTAATGTGGTGTGACAGGCTTAGTCAAAACAAATTGTAGTGTGGTGTGCAAGGCTTAGTCAAAACAAATTGCAATGAACTGTGCAAGGCTTAGTCAAAACAAATTGTGTGGTGTGCAAGGCTTAGTCAAAACAAATTGTAGTGTGCTCTGCAAGGCTTAGTCAAAACAAATTGTAGTGTGCTCTGCAAGGCTTAGTCAAAACAAATTGTAGTGTGGTGTGCAAGGCTTAGTCAAAACAAATTGCAATGAACTGTGCAAGGCTTAGTCAAAACAAATTGTAATGTGGTGTGCCAGGCTTAGTCAAAACAAATTGTAATGTGGTGTGCCAGGCTTAGTCAAAACAAATTGTAGTGTGGTGTGCAAGGCTTAGTCAAAACAAATTGTAGTGTGGTGTGCAAGGCTTAGTCAAAACAAATTGTAGTGTGGTGTGCAAGGCTTAGTCAAAACAAATTGTAGTGTGCTCTGCAAGGCTTAGTCAAAACAAATTGTATTGGTTTTGAGAATTGTTTGAAGAATTCCTAGGAGGAGGAGTTGCAGAATGTAGGAAAAGTTTGGATGAACTTTTTGTTTGTTTTAAGTACTTTAAGAAAACTAGAGACCAGTAACATTTTTTTTTTATATATATAAAACGGCTTATACTTTATTTCATTCCCAATTAGTAGGGGAATTTAGAAATACAGTTTACTTAATTTTTTTTAAAGATATAACAAAACCAGTTATGCAATTAAATATTTACAAAGCCAATATCAAAATGAAAAGATTATTTTTGCTATCAAATGGACAAAAGAAAAATGTTGCTAGGCTAACACATCATTAAACTGCTTTGCTAGCTGTTCAATTACCATTTACGTTTTAAACAAACCTACCAACCATAAATACTTCAATGGGGATGGGTAATTTTCGTAGTAGTAAAGTGTGATACTTCAGTATGTGTATGAGTTATTTTTATTTTGAATTTTTTTAGGTTCTAATCTCAATCAAGGTGAATTATTTTTAATGATCAATTACAAAAAGACAACAATATTTACAGATGTTACGGAGTCCACAACCGTTGGAGAGCTCAAGCGGATAATTGCAGCAATTTTAAAAAGTCCTTCCCAGTACATGATGTTGTATAAAGGTGAAACACTTCTGGCCCAGGATCATAAGACATTGTCTTATTATGGCTATACAATGTCTGTTGCTAAAGCCTATTCACCAGATATAGTGACTCTTGTTCTGACATTAGATTAGAGTGCATGTTATTTTGTTACCAGGTTTTTATTTACTGTAGATTTTTTGTTTTTTATACTCCATTTTTTTAAACTCCAATGCAAGCTGAAGTTAAAAGCCAAGGATTTGTTTTTTTCTTGGAATAAAACAATTATTAATATTGAAATGGGCTCAGCTCAATTTATTAGTCCAAGATATTTCATCTATCTTTTTGTGATAGAACTATATACATTTTTTACACTGCATATACTTAAGAGCTGTTGATATCAAATTATTATGCTATCTATTTTATAAATGCCAATCTTTTGACCATACATAAGAGATTGTTACTGATACTGATATTATATTTCATTTTAAAAAATCCCATGGTTTTGGCAGGTCAAAGTTCACAATGTACCTTATATACATTTAATTGGTTACTTATAACTTATAGAGTGTGTCACATTTGCTTGGGCTTGATAAGCCACAGTAGCAGTAAACTTCCATAACACTGAATTTTGGAATAAAATAATAAATTTTACTGAATTTTGGAATAGAAGAATAAATTTTCTTCTGGTACAGGCAGCAGTTCTAATACTATTTTTACCGTATAAAACTAACCTCAACCCTAAGATATAATATCTAACAAAAACTTGGCCTTAAGATGTCCTCGTTATCCTTGTTGCTAATGTCGTACAATATTAATACATAATGTCGTACAATATTGATGCAAATATATGATACTACATTTGTCTTTCACATCTACCAATTTCTTATTTAAATTTGTTTTTTTAATGACTATTTAATTTAGCTACAGCCCTCATATTTAAGACAATGCTTTTTAATGACATGTAAATATTGTTTTTACAACTTATGAGTGATAAAATGTATTTTAAGTTGAAATATAAATTTTTAATACAACTTAAGTTACACATGTTCCATAAAGTTGAATACCATTCCCATTTTGATTTTTTGTTAGATAATATTATAAGTCGACATGTTATGAGGTGCTTTAACATGGCAATATTTTATTTATGTATATTTGTATTCAGCAAGCTGAAAGTTAAAAACTTGTTATTAATAGTAATATTTGTTAAAAGTATTAAATATTTTGTTTGAGAACAAAATTCCACTCTATTTTTTACTTTTCTCTTAGCTTTTATGGCTTTGTTATAAAAATATATTATAGGTTATTTTTTAATTTCTTAAAAATGTATGCTATGCAATTTTATTTTTTTTTTTTTTATATCCTACAGGTATAGTTATAAGCTCAAAGTGTAAAGATGTTTTCAATGTTTTATTTGTTATATTGATTTAAAAAGAAAATTTTATTTCTTTCTTTTTCGTTTTTTTTTTTTATTTTTCTTTTATCTTTTATTGCTTTGTTATAAAAATATATTATATGTTATTTTTTAATTTTTTAAAAATGTATGCTATGCAATTTTATTTTTTTTTTTTTATATCCTACAGGTATAGTTATAAGCTCAAAGTGTAAAGATGTTTTCAATGTTTTATCTGTGATATTGATGTAAAAAGAAAATTTTATATCTTTCTGTTTCGATTTTACATAGTATTAATAATGTATAAATTATTTTACTAATGTAAAATATCATTACAAAAAAAGATTTTATACAATTACAGCAGTTTGTTTTGTATTCTAATATTGAGTGAATCTGTATTTAAATGCCACAACAAAGCGAGTCAGTTTCAAACTTAATGGCAAAGTTTATTGTTGATAGAATGATAGGTACATATACAGGACTAATTTGGTACATTAAGTAATGATGACATACATACACCAAGTCGCTGTGTACACAGAAACAAACAATGGTTATAGGGGAGGGTCATTGTGCACATAAAAACAATAATAATAATAAATGTACCTGTGCACCATCATGAGGAATATTGCAATAATAGAAACACACTAGCTTGCAGACAAGGTTATTAATTTCCAGTTGTATATGTTCCTGTACAACAGTTAAACAGCATAATAAAACTGTGATTCGCTCATTTTGTTTATAAATGCATTTTTTTTTTTTTGTTACCTTAAATTATTTATAGCTAACAATACTTAAGACGATTTGCATATTTTTTTACTTGAACAAAATTATCAGGATGAATTTTGTATTTTTGTACTTAAATTTCAAAATTAGTAATGAAACTGTTTTTGAGATATGGAAAAATGTATGAAAACCACTGTCATTGTGCTTCAATACATAAGGTAGATAACCTTGTAATCATATAGATCTTTCTACACACTTGATAAAAAGTAATTTTGGGATTAATACTTCCTTTTTGTTATTTTACATATAAGTACACACAAGGTACAAAAGTAAGTAGATCTAGGTTGTAACTTTTTTTTTTACTGTAATAGACACAACAAAATTGCATTTCAAAGCCTAACATATTAATTTAAATAAATATGAAAAAAATACATTAGCCACAGTTTTGGCTGGTATTACAGACAACACCAATATTAAGGCAGATCTGATTCACATAAGAGGAAATTCATCTACAGCTTAATCAAAGTTACTTACGCATAGATGAATTCAATTACCCATCTGTACATGCAACGGTCTGGATTGACATTGCTATCCATTTAAGGCAAAACCATTTCCTCAAAGACTAGCTTGCGTAGGAACTAGCACCAGACGTTCCTAACTTCAAAAAAGGTTACTACCTGTACTTTTGACCAATATTATGATTTCCAAGGAAGGAATATTTCCAATGTATGCATACAGGTTTTGATGAGAAACATGCTGGATAAGGAAAATATATAAAGCCACCATTTTCTCAACTTCATGAGGGTAAAATTTATGTCTGTGTCCAATATTTTCTCTCTTAATACTTAAATATCTCCACACACACACACACAAATTATGGCAGTTTAAAAGGAAAACAAAATAAAGCAACCAGATTCATTATAAATAATTTGACAGGCTGTCCGACTAGCCCTTTTTATGGATGTTATAAATACTATTTTAAAAATGCAGTTGGAGAAATTAGGGGGTGGGGCACACGACACAACCTTTAGTCTAATTACTCTAAGGTACTATCTTTAAAAATATGCATTCCAAAAAATATGAAGCAGCGTTTAAAAAAGTAAAATACCACATGAAACTTATCAGACTTATTTAAAGAAAATTATGAATGCAAACTGTTCCTGTTTGTTTCACTTTTTTCTTCTTAAACTTCTTTTACTACAAGATGATTATTAAACTAATGTAATTTTCTTCACTGTCACAACCTAGTATTATAGAGGCAAACAAAAACAATAAAAAAAACAATGGATCGCTGTAGCTCACAACAAACATTGCACTATCCAATTGTAGTTTGAAGTAATGGTTACAGGAGCTGTTTGAAGATGTTTTAATGCATCGGTAGCAAGGTTCCCGCCAAGGTTTGTTGGTTCGTGTGCAAAATCATAAAGTTGTGTGCAAAGTTTTACAGCATCAATTTTTTTGTGTGCAAAATTTTGCAGCCCACAAACACATGCTTACAAAGAAATTTGCTGCGTGGATACTCAAAACTGCTGCGCTGCTTAAAGGGAACATTGATCGGTAGTATTAGTTGAATTTTAACAAAATTGGTTTTATTAGTTTTAAAAAACACTCCTATTCATTTTAAAAATTCTTGTCTCATAACAATAATTCAAGAGCTTTATTAAATGTAAACATGAGTCTCCACAAACATTATTCATAAAAGATTAAAAATCAACTTTAAAAAAAAAAAAAATTCTCAATAAATTTAATAGACTAGAGAGTAAGTGTATAAAATAACTGGCTTCGGGATTTGAATACAAGCGGTTAAAAAGTATTCAGTTATAAAATAAATGCATAATAAATTCATTATTTAACAAACCAGCTAGCTTGCACTGTTACAGGACAGCCTTACTCACATTCTTGACCACAAGTGCAATCCAGTTGTTGAAAATGATGCAGATCTTGAAACTAAAAATATCTGAATCCACATTGGCTATGGCCCTGACCAAAGCCAGTTCTCTCATTGTAAGAAAGTCAATTGCAAATAATACTGTAGCACTTTTATTATTATTTTTTTCAAACTGTTGCTCCCAAAATGCAGGACAAAAAAGGCTACATTGATAGCTTACCTAAAACAGATGTAACTGCTTGCTGAGATTCACTAAGTGAATAAAACAAAATACTGGCCAAAGCTTTCTTGAATGTTTTACATGAACTCTTATGTTATTACAGTGATGGGTTAAAAAAAAAAACATACAGTGATATGCCTTGTTTGAACCCTTCAATTTGAAATGCCACGGAAGAAATTGCACTAATAATATTGCACACATACCATGTCATGTACAGTACATAGTAAATTGGTTTAAATAGGTGTGTTGCAGTGGACAAAATTTAAAGAAAAACAGAAAATGAGATTTTTAATATTATGTCAAAATCTGTTGGTAATAATATTAACTAATATGCATGAAGGCTTGACTTAATTTCATTTTAAAAATTAAACCTTCAATATAAAATTTTCACGAACTCTAGTATAGAGAATTAAGAATACAAAAATTCTTCTAAATAATATAAAGAATAATTTTTTTTAAAATAAAGCTTCCAGTATACTATTTTTGGAGTTAATTAAAGTTTATAGTAACCATTTTCAAGTACATATGATGGCTTTTTTTTTTTCAATTTCCTTTTGTCAATATATTCACCAATAAAACAAAAACCGAGGCACATTAAGCAAAGAATCACACAAACTTAATTAAAAAAGACAGAAATACTCATGTGTCTTCCATTCCATGTCCTTGAAAATAAGTTGAAAAGAGAAATTTGGTGGGTGTTGAAACTTGTATGTTCCTTTACATTGTATCTTCCTGGGAAAACTACTCATAATAAATTAAACTAACAAATATTTGAGTTTGAGGGTTTTGAAATTAAACATCTGTACATAATTACATGAATTAAAAAAAAAATTGCTTGTCTGTCTTTTGACAAAGAAAATAAGTTGAGCAGTAAACTGTAGTATAGTACAAAGTGACAAAATTTACATGTTTACAGAGATATATTTATGTTATTGTTTTTTTCTTTATCAGTGCTATTTAACTTCATGACTGCAAATATACAAGTAATTTTATAAAGAGTTTAACATAAAAAAAAAAAAATTTAAATGCTAAAGTTAATTATTTGTGAAATAACTTTTAGTGCAGATACACCCAGCAAAAGTACTTAGCTAAGCTGGATACTCTATTTCCAAACACAATAAAGAATACCTTAGGCATTCAAAAACTGTAAAACTAATACATTTAAAGAAATTTAAAAAAACAGATTAAAGTGTCAATAGGGATTTTCAAAGTTGCTCTACCTTAAGGTCAGACAAGGCAACTAAATAGCATCACGGAAATTAACAGAAGTGCAAACAGAAAGCACACATTGTTGTAAAGATAGGACAGACTACATGTGGTTGCCTGGTTGACGGGAAAAATTTTTGACAGTTGCTGGTACACAGCTTCTTATTCACATGATCATACACAGGATGGCAAAGCTTTAAACCATTATGGCTTGGTTTTCACTGACATAGTTCATGTGATAACAATACCTCATTGAAACATAAAACTTCTGAGCTAAATTTGAAAATATTTCCAGGTTGTTTGCTTTCCACTGAAACAAACACATGCTTGCTCTGGCTCTCTTAATGCGTCAGGATTTCCAAATATTACAGGAGCCAATGAAAAACTTAACAGAAGTGACACAAACTTTTCCAAAATTCAGTTAAATCACATGATATGAATGTACTTTTCACTACCAGTAATACAATTTTAAAAAATATTTTAATAGGACATGGGGAAACCCCTAGATCTTTAATATAATTGGGAAAAAAAAAAGTATTTTTAGAGTGTTGTACCCATATCTGAAATGTCTTTTTCTGCTATCTAAATTTTGCATACCTTTCCTCAAATTTTAGTCAAGAGCGGTAAAACATTGACCACTAATTGCATTAAGTTCAAAAAGCATTCAAAATGCTTGAATATTTGACATATTAGCACATGAAAAATGTCATTTCAAAATATGAACTAAATGATTTTTTTTTTTAAATTGCATACAAAAACAATGACATTCACACATGTGGTATGAAATACATTGACTTGAAATTTATCCCTAGAAATGACTCAGTATAAACTTTAGGTTAATATGCTGACAAACAAATATATAAATGTTAATGGAAATTAAAATGAAGTACAATTAACAGGTTCCCATTTAATTTTTTTTAGTCCACATCAATTTAATAAGAAATAATGATTTCAGTTAATTTATCGTCTAAATAAATGTTTTACTTCATTAGATGCACATTAAAACAGATTTTTTAAGATATCTTTAAAAGCGCACTATTAATTTTTTTTTTTTAAAAAGAAGTGGATTTCTCGATCGTTAAAAACGAAACAAACAAATAAAAAAACAATATAATAATAAATTACTTGAGAAATAAAGGATGAACTAATATGCAGGGTATTTGTTACATAAACTAATATGCAATTTAATTATATATGGTACCTAGAGGGATACATTCAGTAGTTCAGTTCACACGCAAGCAAATCACACCATACATACAAGCATCTACACTCTTGTCACATCTCCTGATTGCACTTGCTTTCTCTTCACACTCGTCTCTACATGCAAATCAATTAAAATGGCCACCTCATCACAGCATGGTGCACTTGTGTTGTTTTCTTCTGATTGGTTGAGGCTGCAGCACAGCACGCACGGCTTCATCAAACACCTTAAAAGATTATGGATCAAATGTATTAGAATTCTGTTTAGCAACCAAACAAAATAAAATAAATACAATTCAATTAAGTTTAGTTATCTACATTTTTTCATGTACTGTGATGATCCTTTATTTTTACCAAAATCTACTTTTCTCCAATTTAAATTATCTCATTAAAATGTATAAACCCTATCATGAATGGAATAGAGAATTTGCATTTCAATTAAAACAGCAATTTAATCCAACCTGCTTAAGTCCTCGTTGAGTAAGAGCAGAGCACTCCATGTACTTGACACCACGGATCTTATTGGCTAGCTTAATGCCCTGCTCCCGTTTGACAGGATTAAGACCTTGTGATGTCAGACTCCCAATAGTTTCTTTATTTTCTCGGAGGTCAATTTTAGTTCCTGTAATGGTAAGCGGAAAAACAATTCTGAAAATGTTCCACTCGGAAATAAAGTTTGTTCTTCTCTTTAGCTGTGAAACACCAAGAACAACCTAACTCATTACCAAGAGATTATACATTTTTTATCAACAGAAGTTAGAGCAATATCCATTTTTAAAAAAGGTTTGGTAAGAGATCTTATGGGAATGATCAGGAAATGAGAAGTTAGATATACTGAAAAGGTAGTGGATGGACCATACAATGAGGAAATGAAAATGAGGCATTGTGGAAGAAAATTACATGTATCGGTCCAAGAAAAAGTTAGTAATACCTGTATTATGTTTACACAGTATAAATATATTGACATAAAATATGAAATAGCTGAATCTTAAATGATAAATGAAACTGAAAATCATAGAGTTAAGATTTCTTGGGTTTTTTTTTAATCAACAACCAGCTTAAGTGAAGCAGTAAAGTCATAAAAATGTATGCCAAGCTGAGGTCAGATCCTTCCAAGAATATTAAATGTAGCTAAGTCACAGTGACTCTGAGATTTGCATTGTGTGAAAGAACTTTTTTTTTTTAATTCAATCATGAGTAAGTCTTATATTTTTAAAAATGATTAAAAATTGTATTTTTCAGTAAAAATTGGTTAACATAAAATGATTTCACCAATTCTAAAAAAAAAACTAAAGAATTATTTATATTTTTCATGTTGGAGAAGTTCTTACCAACTACAATAACGGGTGCTTCCGGACAGTGATGTTTAATTTCAGGATTCCATTTAGTTAATACATTCTCATATGAAGACGGACTCACAACACTAAAACATATGAGGAATACATCAGTCTGTCAAGGAAAAAAAATATAATTAAGTACAGTTACCCCATGTAAATGATCACTAATTCAGTCATTATTGTCATTAAAGCAGTTTATTGATGGCTAATTCCCACGGTAGAGAAATACTTTAGATGTCTTGTTTTTAAATTTTTATCATTGTAAAATGTTGACTTGCTTTAAATATGTATTTATTTATGTGCTGAAAATGAATATGATGAACAATATAATTTTTAAAAAAACATTTCCATTTATATAGATCAATAAAGAATCTTATCTTATACGGTATAAGATTAGTCAAAACATGCATACACAGGATAAACACAAGACCGATACCTGTGAATCTTATGTCAATACTCTATTATGTGAGTGATACCTCCAAGTTATCAAACACATGATTTAAAGCTTATAACAGTAATTAACTGTTTTGAATTATAAAGTAAATTTTAAATAATAATAATTACCTGAGGATAACTAAGGGGTCTAAGTCTATCATAATCTTCTTGCCCTGCTGTATCCCAGAGCCCTAGACTCACAGGTATACCATCCACCATCATATTGGCAGTATAGTTGTCAAAACTTTTTAAAATAAATAAAACATAAAGAAGCATTTTAAAAGAATAAATAAATGAAATTACAGAGAGGGAAGTGTCTGTCATTGTGTAATTTTAATGTTTTTTTTTTATTATTCATTGATATAAATCTAGAGCTTTCTATTGTTTCAAAACAAAGAGTTAGAACCCTTGGAGTTGCAGAATTTATTATACCTGAAAAGATAAATCAGGTAAGGAAGAAATTAAAATAACAATTCTTTGTTATTTTTTAAATTCTTTATCTCTTCAGTAGAAATTAAAATTAACACTTACACAAAATATTGAGAAAAATAACACAAAATAGTCTTTTTTTTAAATATAGAAACAATTACTTACACAGTTGGTACATATTCCCCTGGGAAACTGTCAGTGGTATATGAAATTAACATACAGGTCTTGCCCACAGTGCCATCTCCAACAACAACACATTTAATTGGGCGACCTTGGGCCATGTCCGTCATTTGGATAATTAGTATAATTTTTCCAGCCCTCAGATAAAAAGTTAATAGCCAGTCTGGAATGATACAGTTTTATAATATAAAGAATACTTGAAAATTTCAGTAATGTATATAGTATTTTATACCATAAGAAAAAGAGCTTTACAGACTAGGTTACACCAGAACTACCAAATTAATACAATATGGTCTCTGAATAGTACTTTATAATCTCAAAATCCCTTAATAGTAAATAAATAAACATACAGTCAATATGTACACAATAACTATTCCCAACACAAATTAATAAATGTCACTTTTCAAAGTATATATTTATATACAGTGCACTGTTGCAAATAAAATGGTGCCGTCATATTCCAATTAGACGAAAATGTGGTGGAGGAGAGTAAATTGAGGATGCCCGCCAAAGTCTCCAGAGCATATTATGTGGGGGTGGGGTTTGGGGGTGGGGTTTGGGAGGAGGCTGACCCCTTACAAGGAATTTTTTTTTCATCAATTCAAAATCCAGGGATGCACTTTTCCTGTATACCTGAATATAGTTTTGCATCATTCTACACTTAATCATAATGGTTGTAATAAAATTAGGGTCCACATACTTAGCTGTATTCATATAATCCTTTTCATTTTAGGTGTTACTAAATAGTAAAACTGGGTTAAAATTAATAATTTTTTTCAATCTATTTTTTAATCAGCCCACTGAAATGGTGCGTGCCTTTAAAAAAAATGATGTGTATATATTTCAAATTTGCTTTTATGCTAAGAGGAAAATAATTGCTTACTGATTGAAGAAATAACTTCTTTTGTGATTCATTCGACGGGACACAATATTTAATGTGGCCTATGAGCCCGATTTTATTTTACAATAACATATTGTAGTCTAATAACTACCTCAAGCTGAATTGGGAGAAGGGAAGAGGAGTCGTGGTGTATTATAATTCTACAGCTGCTTAGTGACTTTTAAAAATAGATTTCAAATGCCAATAACTAGTCTAGATCTTATAAAATCTAATGCATTTTGTTTTATTCTGTAGTTTTCTACAGTCTACAAATTTGCAATCGCTGCCGTTCAGCCCAAGAGCAAACTAATAAGGCCATGTCATAAAATTACATCATACATACAGCACTGTAGCAACAAAAAAAAAAATGAATGTTGAATTTTTAACTAGGGCGAATACACTAAACATAACTGTTGCTGCATCGAGCAAGTTCATTGTGTATACAAAAAGAAATAATTTGAATATGCTGATCATTATATGTGGTAATGTTATTTGTAGCCTTTAAAAATATTTAGATACCCCCCAACACCTCTTATGCACACACGTTTCCTAGTCAACACCACGCCTTTCCCCTCCCAGTACGTATGTAATATAATTAATGATGGTCCCGAACCAATCGTATTGATCTGTCCAATTCACCGCCAGGCGTAGAAAGGAGCTAAAACTAACACCCAAAGAAATATTTTTTTTAATCGAAAAAACCACCAGGATACATTTTTTTAAACCAGAGTCGCATAAAATCTTAGTTCTGACAGGTCTCTGCGTACAATTGTCAACTGTAAAATACATCTCAAAAACTTGGATTGCATGTCAAAATCGTAAGAGTAAACAGGTCTGGTTTTAGCATACATATTCTACTTTGTTTTGTCATAAATAAATGAAGCTTAACCCTACTTGTAAAGGTTATATGCAGATCATGCAAAATCATGAAATCCCATATGCAGTTACACAAACTAGGCCACAGTGCGCATTTAGACTGACACAAATGAACATGATCAAAATGATATGAGGGTGTAAAACAACAGACACCTGGTTATGAACTTGTTGACCCCCACCTTTTTATTAAAAAATTGTAACAATTAGCCACATGAATCATACATCGTCACAGATTCGTGACGCGCTTGACGTGCGACGTTGCTTATTATGGATGGCCTCCTAGCCTAAACTAAATGAAAACATACTTAATTAGCTCTATTATAATTCCCTATGGCCATGGCCAGGCTTATAGTTTAGTTTATAGGCCATATTAATTATCAGATAGGGTTATAACATTTTTTATATCATTTTTTTTATTACATTCCAATTTCAAGGAAGGGCCTGGGACTTGACTGGGCAAGTTCAAAATGTATTAATAATATTATTATCAAACATTTAGGCTCATGTATGCCTTCTTATTAAATAAAGAAAGAATGAAATGGTAGCCTAATTTTTAGTATTTATTTTTACTCACCTAAAGTAAGTAGGCTAAAGCCCAAGGCTAAATCCTAAATATTCTGTTATAAAGTTATTTAGACTAGACTTTATTATAGTGTATAGTGAATTATTACTAAAAATTTGAACAAAACGAAAACTAATGAGATAGACTAGCTCTGTTTAGGCCTATTGATAGTTTTATTAATCTCATTTTGAATAATTATAACTCTACCATGGGTTGATGAGTCAGTCATTCTGGCACCAAAACAGTTACACAGCATGAATCGAATCATGGTAAAAATGAAATAAAGATTTTAGTTAAGTCACATCGTCGAAGATTTGATTAATTATTTAAGTTATGTGGTAGGTTACATACGTTTACACGTTTATAATATATGTTTGAAACAGTTACGGAAACTTACCACTTCTAACGTGTTAAATGCTAACATTTATTTACGGTATATCATGGAAAAAGTCGATGCTTCTTTCGGTAGTTCTTGGTTGAACCCGGCCTTCTACATGGCTGCCATATTATTCACCATCACAGGTTAAAAATAGCCACCAATGAAAATGTATAAATGCATTGCTCAAGGATGATTTCCCTTCCTTAGGTGGACGCTCTTTGATCGTAAATAAAAAGGAGTAGTCTTCTTTCTTCCCTTTATGGGGATATTAGTATAAAGGTGTAACGTCCGTGCAAGTATATAATAAATCTAAATATGTAAAAAAAATAAATCAAAACTGGTTTTAAAATTAAATGTTTAAGTATGAATCCAAATAGTACATGCTTTTAAGAAAAATACTATAGTTACACAGGCCTACAGCCTACGTACGTACCTCGTCTAACTAACCTAAACACAACTTACTTAGTGACATTAGTTTAGTATTTATTAAGGGACGTCAATTAATTACGTCAACAGTTTTAAGCAATTTTGACCCCCATTCCCCCTTGTCAAAAACTGTCAAACTTTCAGTAACCCCCCTCCCAGTGCAATTATGTCAACATTTGTATAACCCCCCCCCCCAACCAAAAAAACAAAAACAAAACATTAACAAATTAAATGAATTATAATATAAGTATTTAAAGACATTTTAATTTGTAATGATAATTAACGCAAAAGTTTTAAGCAATTTTGTCCCCCATTCCCCCTTGTCAAAAACTGTCAAACTTTCAGTAACCCCCCTCCCAGTGCAAATATGTCAACATTTGTATAACCCCCCCCCCCAACCAAAAAAACAAAAACAAAACAACAACAAATTAAATGAATTATAATATAAGTATTTAAAGACATTTTAATTTGTAATGATCTTTTTTAATAACACAAAATTGTAGTAAAAAATGTGATTGCATCTTTGGCTTGTTAACAAGTTCACACGTTTTTACACTTAAAACTTATATTGTAGAATCAATTAAAAGGTTGCTAAAGACTAAATATCATTGTTTGTGGAAGTAAAAATATGATTATTGTCGGTATAGCTGACAAATTAAAGCATAGTTTCTAGCTACTATCATCTTCCCAGGGAGTAGCCAGGTGGTGCTCTATTGTAACAATGGGCATATTAGCTGACTTGTCATTTTTATTTTGCGGAACTGATATACCAGACAAGTCAACATTATCCTCATCTAACCATTCAGTACTTATAAAATAAAAGCATTGTTGGTGTCTCTATCTCCTTGCAGCTACTCGCATTGGTCAAATCCTTTTTTGTTAAGGAGCAGGTGCTAATTTCTTATGCTTTGTCGGTGCTGTTGAACATGCCTTTTTCAACATGACTTGTGATGCAAAATAGATGTTACAGATTTTGCAAATCCTTTCAATCAGCGATGCTATTATTGTTACTCACTTTAAAGTCCCCTAATTCTCAAAATATCGTATTCCTACTCTATCAATACCATTTATCTTGACCGCACATGACACTTGAACCTAGTCCTTGTCCCATACCTGCAACATGACTGTAAACATACCGCCCTAGTCATTTGCGACTAATAGAATCGACAGTCGAAGAGAGGCCAACTTTTGACTTCTATTGCATTAACTAAATGTGCCGACATTCTGACCAGCTATCACCAGCGCACAGACAGGCACACATTAAATAAATCTTATATTAATAAAAGCCTAAAAATTATATAACTATTTTAATTTACACGCCTTAAATTTGTTGAAATAATGTAATAACCAGTCAATTTTTAAGATTAACATTTTAATAGAGAAAACATGATTGTTGACGTCAGCTAATCTAAACCAACCACCCTCCCCTTATCAACAATTGTCAAACATTTCCAAATCCCCTCCCCTCATTTTGTTGATATAATTAGTGGACGAACCCTTAGGTAAAGGTCTTAGTCGTCTTAGGATTCTGTCGTAGTGACATGACACTATTTTGACTAATTTTCCACCACCGCCTCCCTATTGTCACAAAATTTAGACACTTTATTATACATCTTCACGAATTCATAACACCCCGTCCCCTTAGCCCTTACACTTACACATGTATATATATATACAACATGTGTGTGTGTGTGTGTGCGTGTGTGTGTGAGTGTGCGTGCGTGTGTGTGTGCGTGTGTGTGTGTGTAAAGGAACATGAAATAAGTGGGACAAGGTACGGTAAAACCTGAAAACAGTTGCAACAAAAAAACTAGCATGTCGACCAGAGGCCTTCTTCCACAAACAAACAAACAAAGACGAACACAAATATAATTAAACAACCCCCTAAAAACTAAGTTTTTCAAAAAAACAACAACCTTTATTCGCATTTTTGTTTGCATTTATATAATTATACGTCATTTATCATTTATGTGATTGTAGCAACTGGTTTTTAGTACGGGAAGGGTTTTTTATCAAATTTAGTGGATTTAAAACCTAATAGATTAAAGATATTTTAAATTCAAATATGCCACAAACACATTTACAAACAGTTACAAAATTAATCTCCACACCAAAACACGCAACCATTGAACACATCATATCTTCATGTCTATTCGCCTTGAGAAATAGGGAAAAAAAACGATTTGGGGGTGGGGTGGGGTGGGGCTGAAAATTTTGAAAGAATTTGCTGTCATTAACAACGAAGCTGTAGTTTCAGCTCGAAGGATGACGGGAGGTATGTCATTTAACTTTCCGAACAGAGGAGTTTGGGGGCCTTAAGCATGGAGCGTAGGTTGGGGGCCCCGGAAGGGGGGGGGGTCCGGTGGTGGAGCTCCCTCGAGCTGAGGAGAAAACACCACCCACCACTACGGCACCTCCATTCTGCTGATTTCCTGTCTGCCACTCCAAAGCTCCCCCTGTTGCTTCCCTTCCCCTGCCTCCGAATTCAACTCAGAATGATAAATTTCAGGATGAGGAAGGTAACGTGAGTGACACAGACGGCTGCAGTGCCAGTTTTAAAAAAAAACCGGGGGATTGAGGGCGCCTCACGGGGGGGGGGGCCCTCACGTTCGGGGCCCTGCGCGGATGCGTAGTCAGCGTATGCCCCCCCCCCCCTACGGGCCTGTTCCGAAGATTTTGCCTGAGACACACGAATAAAGGCGAAGTTAATAAAAAGGATTTTATTTTTATATTTTTAATAGCTGAACTGAAATGCTGTATTCGAGATATTGTATCCAAGAGGACAACAAGAGTAATGAGGTAGACCAATTATAAGCAAGAGAATTAATATGGGTGAGAAGTATGAAAAGTAAGTCCACTGCCATTGGTTGTAAAAATAAGGGGCGGAGATAAGATCGAACAAGTGAAGGAGCATATGACACTGCCATTGGTTGTAAAAATAAGGGGCGGAGATAAGATCGAACAAGTGAAGGAGCATATGACACTGCCATTGGTTGTAAAAATAAGGGGCGGAGATAAGATCGAACAAGTGAAGGAGCATATGACACTGCCATTGGTTGTAAAAATAAGGGGCGGAGATAAGATCGAACAAGTGAAGGAGCATATGACACTGCCATTGGTTGTAAAAATAAGGGGCGGAGATAAGATCGAACAAGTGAAGGAGCATATGACACTGCCATTGGTTGTAAAAATAAGGGGCGGAGATAAGATCGAACAAGTGAAGGAGCATATGACACTGCCATTGGTTGTAAAAATAAGGGGCGGAGATAAGATCGAACAAGTGAAGGAGCATATGACACTGCCATTGGTTGTAAAAATAAGGGGCGGAGATAAGATCGAACAAGTGAAGGAGCATATGACACTGCCATTGGTTGTAAAAATAAGGGGCGGAGATAAGATCGAACAAGTGAAGGAGCATATGACACTGCCATTGGTTGTAAAAATAAGGGGCGGAGATAAGATCGAACAAGTGAAGGAGCATATGACACTGCCATTGGTTGTAAAAATAAGGGGCGGAGATAAGATCGAACAAGTGAAGGAGCGTATGATTCTGTTAATTTTTTCGCTCTGATCAAGCAGAAATTACAAAAATTAAATTTCATTTCATAGTGGAGTCATCCCCCCCTACACCCCTTTTTCTAAATCTGTTTGGGAATAACTGGAAATGGTTTATGCAAGCATACGGCAACGTGTCGTAAATTATTTATACCCGAAAAGTCAATACAAGTTTTAACAGCCTCTCATCCCGAACATTCCCCGGACACCTTATTAAATAAAATAATTAATCTAAATCTAAGTTACAATATATCAAAGCCAAAATAGCATCAGTAATTCCTTTTGATAACGCTGACGTGTTTTTGATAATGAATTTTTTTTCCTGTTTCTAGCTAAATACCAACAGCCTCAACTACTTTACCTGATTTACGCCTTAATACAAGGAGAGTATTAGTTGTTTTGAAATGGTCTTCACGGAAACTTCTCCCCCTTGCACTCGCAGCCACACATGTTTGACTGCGATAAGTTCTACCTTTTTATTTTGATAACGCTGTCGGCCGAGCGGCGTATTTTACCTTAAAGAAATCTAACACGGGGAGCACGTGACGAAAAAAAATTGCACACGCGAAATATAGTGAGTGAATGTAGGTGCAATTCTTTTGAGTGGTAATTTTACCACTTCCTGGCGTGCGCGAGTGGGAAATGTCAGATTGCTATGTACAGGCGCAGTTTTTTTTTTTAATATTTTTTTTTTTTTTTACGGTTGTGTTTTTCGCCGAATGCATGCATGCTTTCACATTCATAAAGATGCGTTCGCCCCCATACTCAGTGGCGTAACAATATCATTAAAATAATCTGGTAGGTATGGAACAAGAACAAGGACAAGGTGGTCGTCGGCCTCGTTTGCATAACACAGCAGAAGCAATATTATTTTTTTATAGCATGGCCGGGCATTTGTTGGGATTTACACCGTAGCCGATATATAATATAATCACCAAAGGGGACAAAGGTCTGTGGCGAAAATAGGGGGGTTGCGGAGGGTGCGATAGCCCCGGTCGACACTTTTGGGGTTCATATCTAACATCCGGTGTATGCAGTGGCGTAGTTAGGGTTATTGCCACTCCGGGCGGGCTAAGATTTTAGTTTTATCCCTTCAAAGAGAAAATCTCTTCAGTCGGCTGAGGAAGCCATCCTTCGATATAAAGTTAAAAA